TCCAATTATACTTTGAAGACTCTGATCTCATAAACCATCGCACAAACACGATTCCAATAAATATCAGTCCAAAGCATTTGTAATCTGCGACCACAAATCAGATGAGACCAGATCTGTGACGCACGAAAACAAAGCATACCTGGTTTGATTGATGTTTCGAATGCTAAGTAATCAACACTACCCGCACCGCGCCAATCAGAAGCTGCGTTCGTGGGCGAACGCAGTTTTTCAAAATCGTGGGGTTTGCTGGCAAGCGGTTCCTTCGTTCCCCTCCCCCTCCCCAGTCGTTCATGTTTTTTTTGCTCTTGTCCCAGCTTTCTAGACGAACCTTGCGAGGAAACGCTTGCCACGCAGGCTAGAGCTGCTCAGCCCACAGCCAAGCGTTTTCACCTTGTACCCCTGGGGTAGGTGTATACGGATCATAGACATCAGGGGAGGAGAGGGTCAGTTTTTGTCTCGCATACTTAAATTACCTGGATGTGAACACGTCAACGGGGTTCTATTTGATTTCCCGGATGTTATTGAACGAGCTAAAAGTTCTTAGCAAAAGAGGGGATTCCCGATAATCGAATAACATTTACTATGGGAAATATCCTGAAAGATGTGCCGCAATCAACAGAAGTGGATACCATCATTGTCAAAAACTTGTGTGTATTTGCCGATGATCAAATGATCAAAGTCTTGGAAAACTGTCATGAAGTCCTTATAAAAGGTGGAAAGTTTATAATTGTGAATAGTTGTAATCCCGAAGCTGGAGACACAGACCACAATGTAACTTCATCAGGCCTTCATCCTGGCTTTCGTGGTATTCACATTATGACACTGTGTAAGACAGGAAGGTTCAGAACCAAGCGTGATTGGTTACTCTTGATTAACAGATTGTGTCGTAAAATGGCTTTTAAGATAAATCAAGTACTTGACGCTGGTGATGGCCCTACATTGTTTGAGTTTCTTAAATGTGACTAAAAATACATGTAGGCTCGATTTCACCAGTGTTCAGGGCTGTAAAAATACATTGCTGATGGCATACAGGTGTTAACCCATCCTTAAAAAGGACGGACCTGTGTAAACTATATTGAAAACAAATACACATCCTTTTTGTTCTTTTAAAAGTGACATTGTGCTAAAATTAATATGATTCCACTGTTAGGTATATTTGATTTCTTGATCAAGGGGGTACATGGAAATAGCCTTAAAATATTGAAATACATATCATATTTTCCCTTTGTTTCGCTGACAAACAAATACACAAGTGTGAACGTTTGCTTCTCGAAAAGTCTTTTTACCTTTGTGTGGTTTTTGTTTTTCGTTACTTGAAAATTACTTTGGACTCAGAACAACCAATGTTGAAAGAAAAACGGATCATTCCGTCAGTCTGAGGTGGAATAAAAAGTCTTGATCATTTCCAAAGAGGCGAGTGTTTTTCTGATTGTGCATTCGATTTGTTTGTGAGTTGATTTCGCCTTCTTTTGCCGGGTTGAATTAAAACCCACTTGTATTCTGTTATTAGTAGATACTTTTTTAACATGCCCAGATTTATTACCTTTGCATGCAGAACCATCTTTATCCTTCTCATCAGTCAAACAACCATTTATACGCTTAAACTTTCTAGGAAATAGAAGGCCAGCAAGCTTACTCGAGAAGAAAAGACTACTTCGATCATTTTTCTGTTGCTCAAGTAATAATAGTCAGAGTTTTCTTCATTTATAATTACATAGTTTTGTTTTCCTTTTTTGCTAGTTCAATAACCACACAACAATTCAATAACCACACCAGCAGTTCAATGACCAAACATTAGTTCATTGTGCCGGTAAACTGCATGAAGCTGCGGGAAAAATAGCCGCAAACACGTTGGATATTTTTTTTGATATCAAATTTGTCGCATTAAGTAAGTGCATGGTAAATACTCGTTTAGGAACGATACAAGAACTAAATTGAGAAATAGATATGGTATATAGAGGATATTACACACCCGCGCGTGGATACGAATTTTATCTTCGAGTGTTCAACCCGACATCTCACTCGTTGGCTGCGCTCACTCGTGAGATATCGAGTTGAACACTCGAAGATAAAATTCGTATCCACAAGCGGGCATGTAATATTTTGTTTATTATATAGCACCGATGGCGAGATGCTTTGATGCTCTTTTCCTATTGACTGAGACTGAAGTAGCCATGACAACCGTGATATCTTCACATGTGAAGGACAAATATTGTATCTTCACTGGATACCAAATTTTCGTCAGTGGAAAAATCCTGGTATTTCATCGGTGTCTATATAATAAATGTACACTGTTATTAAATTCTAGTGAGCTCACTAATATAGACAGGAACAAAGACTGATGTTAATTTAAGAAGGTCTGTCACGCTCATCAGGGGCACAGTGAACAGACCTGGAAAGAGAATCAGCGCCGAAAAGGGAAAGCTAACTCGGTCCGGAGAAAACTTCACATTAAATAACCCGACAAAGCGCTCGTTGATAAAGCAAAAAACATAACGGCTTGTTTTTTGACTCTCTTTCCGCACGTTTCAAACTGTGGTACCACAGCTGCCCTACGTGCCTGAGTCGACTACCATCAATCCATGTTTTATAAGTTTATCATCATTGCCGTCGATTTTTTGGATACTTAGTACTCCCGGGGGGGAGGGGGGTACTTTAGGAAATTCTGGGTGGGGATGTGCCGCTGGGACCCTGGAACCCTTAACCTATACCAGAACTAGTTCAGCTGAATTTTGCTATCCTATACTAGAGTAAACTCCCCAAATTCCCCCTATCCTAGAGTAACTGTTTTCCAGAAACTACTGAGGTCACTAGCACAGTACTTTAGCTAAAACAAAACCATATACCAGATAAAATCTTCAAGCAACTGATCAGTTTCCTGAAAAATGATACCCTATTCTAGACCCAAACGCTCTGATTTATATACCCTATCCTAGAGTAAACTACTTGAAAACCATACCCTTCACTGCGGCACATACCTATATAGCCCATATATGGCAGTACCCCCCCCCCGCGGTTAGTGTACTGAAGAGACGAAAACAGAGCTGAACACGTCATCAGATAAAGATTTTGTTCATAGCGGTATAATGTTATTTCTTTTATATTTAATGAAGCAATGTAACGCCAAAAGTGTAGCTTGTATTGCTTCTGTTGTGCAACAGCTTTTACCAACGCTGCTTGTAGTTTTTATAGATGTTTACTTTGAGGTAATGAGCACTGCTGTGTGCGTTCAGATCCAGTTATGGTGTCCTTTTTTAATCAAACCTTTATCGAAGAAGGTTTTACTTTTTTGGTATCCTAAAAATATCCCCGGGGGGGGGTTACTCACTCATAAGGGCTTCATGGGGACGTGCGGCCAGCCAGGGTATGTTTTTCGGGATTTTTGTCTTAAACAGGGTATCGAATTTATCATTTTTTTGTCTTAATCAGGGTATCGATTTATCAGTTTTTGTCTTAAATAGGATATCTTTTCTTGGACGATAAACAGCAAAATTTTTACAAGCTCTAATGTTAATTAATATTGACTTCCGTTGACTTAAACAGGGTATCAAAAATCGAAATTCTGTCTTAAACAGGGTAGGAAAATCAGCGATATTTGTCTTAAACAGGGTCAGGGTATGAGGGGCCGCGCCGCACCTCCCCACCAGGGATATATCGAGTACCCCCGGGAAATATCCCCGATCGGTATTGTTTTGGAAAAGAAATTTTACACAGTTTTACTATGCCGTTCATGTTTCCTAGTATTAATTGTGACTTTATCGATTTTGAATTACTTTAACAACAAAGGTTTTAGTTAATTCAGGTTAATTGAAATATTTTTTATTTCAAACTGCTTCACATACAAAGTAGAGGGAGATATTTCCGATTCAATTGAAACTGGGCGCGTTTGTCTTTCTGCCGAACAAAATCGAAATTATCGCGTCGATTGAGTTCGATTGGTTCGATTGAGTTCGGTAATTACACTCACGAGTTCGATTAATCGAACTCACCGAAAAGTTCCAGTTCGATTACCGAACCAATCGAACAATAATCCGACCGACTGGGTTTGAATGAGTTCGATTGATTTTTGGTTCGGTTCTGTTCGATTAGCTACGCCGGGCAATCAGTACCTAATTACATCAGCACATTGACCTTTTTTTCTTTCTCCCTTAGATAACGCACTTCTACCGCATTAGTAGTTCTTAGAAATTAAAATGCCACTACCAAAAACAATTTTTTTATTTTTTGTTACATGTATTTAATGAAAAACTGCCTTTAAGTGACAATCATGGGAAAAAACCGTTTCCTATAAACATTCTTATCGCTGCTATTACAGTGTCATCAATATTTAACAATGTCGATCCTCACACCCACAGACTTAAAGCTGCTTACATACATTCATGTATGGAATATAGACAAAAACTTGTTCTTTAATTTTAGCCTTTTTTTAATTTAAGATTTATAACATAAATGATATAGGTAATACCATGTACTCACGTGGGAATACTGAAATTAAGTTGTTGTTTTTAATACGTTGCATGTGGTATCATCCCTAAAAAAACTATGTTCTAATGTGCGTTTTAAGTAATTCACATTGCAAAAAATGCTGTATACGTTAGTTAGAGTCTCTAAAACAAAGCTACTTAATCCACAGATTAAGAGAATAGCTACTAGGATAGTTGCAGTTATACCCAAAGTCTCCGTCGCAAATGTCTGTGCCAAACTGAGCGTCATCAGCCTCTGTAATACCAATCCCATGATCCGCTCTGCTGCATGAATCACCTCCTCCTCCAATCATCATCACAGCTCCGTCACCGGAGCTCCAGTCACACCAGAAGGACAGGTAACTGCTACTCTGAAGATTACTGCTGCATGATGCTTGACCAAAACCCGTCGTTGCTGAATAATTACCTCCAAAGTATGAATAACACCAACCTCTGCAGCCGTTGCTGTTCCAAATGTTGCCATATCTAAAATCCCCATAGCCGGTAATAAAGCCTCTGAAGGCGTTTCCTCCGATGCAGCTAGAGGTGTACAACAGGTATGTATGCGAGCTGTCATCATTGCGGGTAATTTTGATATAATAGCCTTGAACGAGCCAGAATGCTGGTGAGATCATGTCATAGTTGTTCGATGTACTGGTAACGCTGCCATAAGATGTTGTTCGGCTATACCACCAGCTACCGCTGTACTGCATCCAATTAGCACTATCGGCATTGGAGAACCGTGATATAAGTGTCCAGCCACCATTAGACATGTCACAGTACACCTAAGATGGATTTGTTGTAGAAGTATTAACATAAATTAGTTAGAAATACGTTTATCGTAAAAACCTCTCGAAGCTTTAAAGGGCCAGCGGTAAGAGTAAAGGGAAACAAGCCAGAGGGGAAAATGTGATAAAAAATAAAAAATAAATAAATAAAAACGAGAACAGAAAGGGAAAAAATTATACAACGATGGAAAAAGAAGACAAAACAAAGCAAAACAAACATAAAGACAAAAAAACTTTGCCGAGAGTTGCATGAACCGGGCCAAACTGCACGTAAGGTCGACTCCTAGGCTCGATTTCCGCCGTCTCCCGGGTCCGGTCTTTTGATTGTGGGCTCATTTTCCCGAACAGCGGCTGGTAATCGAGCCTAGTCGACTCCTTGACCATTAAATCACTAATTAATGGAGAAAATTATTGTCTTTTAAGGTGTTTCGATACAGTTTTGCGTGATCTAGACCTGCTACTGAAAATCCGACACCAGGAACTTAAAGTGTGGAGTTTAGCAAATAACCTCTGTGAGAAGTAAAAAATTCTGTGTGTTTGAATTCAAATAAAACGAAAATATATTTCAAACCTTATAAAAGGGGACCAAGGATTTTTCCCTGTGATACCTTGCATTTAAGTGAACAGATTCTAGAAAGGGAACCATTAACGAGACATCGTTGTGTACAACTTATCATTCAAATACGATCTAAACCAATCTAGAGTAATTCCTTATACTTCATACAAGTTTATTTTAGATAAAAGGATATCATGATCAACAGTGTCAGATACCTTTTTTAAATCAAGAAAAACCACAGCACTAACATTTGATTACCACGATCGAAATTAAAGGCCCAGTTATCAGTAGCTTTAAGGAGAGCAGTTACAGCCCGATTAATGTGTGCCCTAAAGCCCGATTAATGTGTAGAAATGATATCTTCATCGCTCAAAAAATTATTCAATTGGTCATAAACAATTCTTTCGAAAACTTTGGCCATAACAGAAATGACTGAAATAGGTAGATAATTATTTAGATCAGATGCCTCACCTTGCTTAAACAACGGAGTATCCCTAGCACATTTCCAATCGTAAGGAAATACACTAGAGAGCAAAGATTTATTAAAGAGATCACATAGAGAAAGTGAAATCACATTCACGTATCATTTTAGCAGAGATATTATCAAGACCTGTTGCTTTGGATCTACATAATTTGTTTAGATGTGAGAAAAAATGATACTACTGCTAGTAGAGAAAAAACTGAACTTGTTGTTATTTACATTTATTTTATTGGTATAACTCAAATCATTATTATTATCATTAAGAGGACTTTCATTGGCAAAGGTGGGGCCCAATTGTTAAAAAATGGTCATTAAAAGCATTAGAAAGCTCACTAGAATTAGAAATAATGGCACTATTCAACTTCAATTCTTTCACCATTGCATTGTTGGTGCTACGGGAAGTAAGTTCGTTAATGGTTTGCATGTTTTTCGAGAATTACCTTTACATTGACTAAAAGCATAAGAGTAATAAGATGCTTTAGAAGTCTTGATGTTATTGTTTATTGTATTTCGCAACTTTTTGTACTTTGCCCAGTCGCGTGGATCATTCGATGCCATAGCTTTTCTTTTGGCAGCATCACGATCGCGCATGTCTTTCTTTAATTCTAAATTGATGCAGGGTGCTTTTCTTATTCTAGCGCATCTAGTTCGGAGTGGAGCATGAAAGTTAACAACATCCAAAAATTTCTTTTTCCAGTCAGCCCACAAAACATTAGGATCATCAGAGCCGTACAAGTCTAGTCCTGCTGAGCGATATCGTTACGAAAACTCCCTCGATTAAATTTTTAAAATTTCTGTAAGAAATGGTTGAATGCCCTTTTTAGGGAAAACCAGGAGATAATTTCCTATAAACGTCAAGGCTGTGATCGCTGATGCCAATATGAGAGACTCCGGAACAGACTACACTGTCAGCATATTTTGTAAAAATGAAATCAATTAAAGTAGACGAGGCTTCTGTTATGCGAGTAGATGTGTAAGAAACAACAAGATCTTCAATTATCAATGAGATTGACCAGGGTCTTAGTTTTCTACATCACCCCCCTCCCCCCTTCCCAAATGTAGAAAACGAAGACCCCCTCAAAATCACTTGGAAACGGCTCGAAGCGGCTCGATACGGCTTGAGACGGCTTCTAGACACTAGAGGTGTGTGAGAACCAACAAGATCTTCAATTATCCATAAATTTGACTAGGGTCTTCGCTTTCTACACCCCCCTCTCCAACCCCCCAAATGCAGATAACGAAGACCCCAACAAAATCATTTTAATACGGATCGAAACGGCTTGAAACTGCTTCTAGACACTAGAGGTGTGTAAGAGACACCAAGATCTTCGAAAATACAGTCAACTCTCTCGTAAGCGAGCACACTTGGTGCTTGACAAAGTGGTCGCTTACAGGAGGCGGTCGCTTACGAGTAGTGGTCGTTGTGAGAGGTTGAATTGATTCCAAGGTGTCTGTTAGTGAACCACGAACATTCCCGAAATACCCTGGAACAACCCAGGAACGAAAGAGAAGCCTAACCGTAACCCTAACCCGATCCCTTCCTTCTGTCCCCAATCCCCTCTCCTTTTTTTCTCCCTCCTTCTTTTCTTTCAGAGTTGTCTTTTTTCCTGAACTATTTTTTTCGAGTTTCCGCCCCTCCTCCTACGTCTGATCTGCCTGTTTTATTTAGCTTTTTATGCGCCGTTCCCGTCGTCATAAATTTTGGCGATATGCTTTTCTATATTTCCAACGAGAACTTCTCCGTAATGCCTACGCCACATATTTAAAACTCCTGCCAGTAAGTTGCCTTCGAATAGTTCTTTGGATGTCCCTGTACGGGACAAATCGTGCTTCACTGCACACCATCTATTTTCGGCATCTGTGTCTGGGTGTAAATTACGAAGTTTAAGCTGTTCGTAGCCCTCCTCTTGTAGACATTAATAAGATCCCATTCTCACGCTCCTCACGCATGTACTCTCCAATATTTGAGCACGAATTATGGCCAAAAGAGTTTCGTTATTCCTGCTCTACTGGAGCAAAACCTTGGTAATTGGGTATTTTACTGAACTCCAAATGACCCTGAAGTTTAGTGATTAGGGTTAGGAAACTGAGTTAATTAGGTTTCATTCAAGTCCCCTGCCAAAGCTCTCGCACATTTCATAGACGTTGTGAGGACAGGTTATGTTTTCCTTACACCACTCTATGCACTGGTCGTGATCCGCCAGTGGTGTGGAAAACTTCAAAAAGTTAAGTTGAGTCACATTAATCGCGAAATTTGACCAAGTCTGACAAGTGTAATACAAGCAAAAGAGTGGGTTTTATTTGTGAAGCCGATGCGTGCTTGTTATTGCTGAAGAGATGCATTTTTTAAGTTTCGCGGATATCTTACAAGCGAAAGCGTGAATAATTAACATTATTATTCATTCAAAATATTTCCCCGATTCTGATTGGCTAAAAGCACACGTTTAACTCACCATAACCAGTTACTGATGACCAAATTTGGAAGAATTTTGACTTTAACGAGGAAATGACGTCAAAAATGCAGCGTTTTCGCAGGTTAAGGCACCGTTAACCGAGAAGACCTGGGAACGAGGATGAGTTGTTTTGTTTGTGAACTTGAAAAAATGGCGGACATTTCACCCGTTTCAAGAGTAAGAACTAGGCGGAAAATAGCTAAAAACATGGCAAAAACAGCAAGAAGATAACTCGAAGGGCGACATCTGCTATTTGAAGAATATTTGGGAAGCTGGACAAACCTAAACGTACACTATCGAAGATGAACTGAACATCGATGGATCGATGGAGGTAAGCATGTTTTAGCTATGTTTTTAAACTAGGAATTATTTTGAATGAATAATAAAACAGTTATTGAATTCGGCTTTCGTATCATATGAAGAATTATGGAGATCGAGGAGGGTGTTATCCGTCGAGGCCGTAGGCCGAGACGGATAACACCCGTCGTTAACCTGATACTCTGATACTCAGCCTCATTCTCTCTTGACCTCATTCATTAACTCTTAATGAATACACCAATTTCAGTTGTTTTGCTATGTATATTTGAACTTGGGCACGCAAAAAGATATCAATATTTATTTGACGGGAAATTTCACCAATTCGTCGTGGTCTAGTGGTATGGAACAGAGACAGGTAAACCAGGGCTACAGGGAAGCGTTGTTTCAAATCTCACCGACTGTCGAGAAAAAAAGGGAAAAAGGAAACCGGGGGCACTGAAGAGAGTTGTCGGTGAAAAAGAGAGGAAAAAAGAGAAAGAGAGTGGTGGGAAAAGAAAACGAAATGACAGAAACCGAAATCCTCTTTCATTAACACAGTAAGTATTCATTACCGATATGCAATACTCTGGGGAATTCGTTATTGTCTTGGAAGACATCCTGGCATAAGGTTTACCGAAACAATGGCACTGGAGTTTGCTTCGTTCTTCTTCTTTTTCAGTGCTGTTTGTTCCTTTTTCTTTTGCTGCGCCAACAGTTTGCCATTTATTCTAATCAGAACACATATTAGACTGTCTATGCTTAGGCATTGCTGACCCTACACTTGAGCCTAATGTGCTCTTGTTGGAGGTGTTTGCAAATGGACTAGCAACATGAACTTGTCTGATTGATTCTCTGGATACAAAATATAAATGAAAATGTAAGGGAGTCTCGTTCTTGAATTAATTTTTCCTTTTCTTCCTCACGCGTTTTCAGTAATTCCTGCAGCTTCTTATCCTCAGTTTTAAGCTTTTCTGTGTCATTATTTTAATAACTAACTGTTGTTGTTTGGAGTCTTCAATGTGAGCCCATATATTCCTAGCCTGCGTCGCAGATGTAATTTTACCCCAGTTGGTAACGTCTGCGAAGCAGCGTCGATATCCTTGTTATGGGCCCCCAATGGACTCAATCTACCAGAAATGCGTTTCGAATATTCCTTCAACCTGATTGGCTTTTTTAACAGGCCAATCATGGCCGGTATTCAAATCCTGGTACACATGTGGGGGCCCAGAACATGATTTCGGCTATGAGAGGCCATCGATTGATGATCAAGATCACTATCGGCATTTTGATCGTGGTTTTCGATCGGTGGTTGAGAATGAAGATCTTTATGGTCGAAATTATCGATTGATTAATGAGAACCACGATCGTTATTATCCAAAAGGGGTTACTAAGAACACAGTTGCCTTGGTCAAAAGAAAGGTTGGTGATGAACACTCAAGATCTAAAGAATTGAAAAGAAGAAGTGTCGATTGGTGACAATCAAGGAGAACTGGAACAGGATGGCGGCCGACTGCCAGTGTTATTCAAGATAAAAAAGGATTTTTTTACGTCCATGAGACAGTTTTTCACGAAGCCGATAAGGCGTTAAAAGACGAATGCAATCCTCTGGATTATACATCAATCGATAATCTCGACCATAAAGATCTTCATTCTCAGCCACCGATCGAAAACCTCAATCATACTGATCGTGATCATCAGTCGAGCACTCGTATCACTATTGACGGATATGACCTCCCATATTCGGCGCTGTTTAGACTTAACCAGAGTTTAACCAGAGCTTAATTTCCATCCTGCAGTTTCTTACGACCATCAGCGTCTTCAGCATGGCCATTTCCTTTCTTGACACAAGCGAAAGCTGATTCCTCATTGTCTGGTAGTTTAAGTAGTTCTCACATCTCGGTCTTGATAGGCAATGATGTATGCTCCTTGGATTTGCAGGGTCCCACCGCTGTGATAAAGAAGCTTTGACTTTAAAGAGCTTATCTGAAACGCCCGCCGTTGGTGACAAGTGCAAGTCTAGAACGTTTGTACTAAAATCCCGAAGCCCCTCTAAGCTCCCTTTCCATTTAAAAAGAGATTGCTTTTCGTCCCAGCTTATACGGTGTTTTAAAGGACTGAAACGGCCGTCTTGCCGCTCTGCCGTTAGTCAAATCGGAAATAGACACTCCGCTTGCGGGAGCCGCTCGAGATGAATAAGTAGAATCACTCTCAAAACGTTTTTACAAAGTGCGATGGAATTATTACAAATTGCGACAGTTAAGTGTATTATAAAGTGCGACGGATAGTTTTTACAAATTGCGACAGTTTCTTATTACAAATAAAGTGCGACACGGTTTATTACAAATTGTGACAAGTGTATAATTATGAAGTGCAATGATTATTACCAGGAGCCTTTATTACAAATTGCGACGCAGTACATGATGCACATTCTATGAAATAATGGTCCGAATAAGAACAAAACACTACTTGTTAATTTCACTTGGTATTTCACCCCAACCGTCCCTATGTTTCATGAATTAATGCATCAATCAATTGAAAGCCCGGCCTCCCGACCCCAGCGGCATTGCGGGAGATAGCGGGGATTTAACACACATTTGACAACGTGTTGTACAAGATGCCTGTTCTACCCGGGTCATGAGCCAGGATTTAACGCGCACGCATTTGTGGAAGCGGGGACAGCAACGGGGAACTGTATCCTTCTTTTCTTTCGGATACGTAGTTTGAGGGTATCAACTCCCTTTGAGATTTGTGGATCTGTAGAAGTCTTCTGAGTGTGATATGCAGTGTTCTAATAAAGTGACAGGTATTTTTATCGGTACACGGAAACGTAAGTGCATGCATGTATAGGGAGGTATAAACGCAATAACTGTTCAAATAAAGGTAACAACATTTGGACATGCACATCACCACGTGAACATCGTGCGGCTCCGATTTGCTGTGCACCTCTTGTGAAGGAAGGTGGCCAGGGGATACCCAGATGCCATTTTCAAAATAAGAAGAATTAAATCCATGGCACTGTTACATAACAAGTCACTGTTTCAGAGTTATTTTTCCTGACCCTGGCTTTTCCCTCCCTAGTGTTCCGCGGCTCGATGTGCGCGCACCATGATCGAAAGTGAATGTAGGTCATATAGAGAGGTCCAATTTCACTGCAGTTGGTGAGTATAGTCGAAAATACGGTTGAATTTAGGAACAAGTACAGTTGATACCAACAAATGCTGTAAATCCGAACTAAATCGTGTTTATTGTTCATGAACTACTTATGCCCCGCTATACGGGGCTCTTAACAAACTGTTTGGCCCGGGGAGCTGGGAAATTAGCGGACCCGGTGTTTTAACACGCGGCCAATGTTAAATTCCCCGCCAAGTCGCGGAGGTCTGGGGGGGCGGAGTTTGAATTGACTGATGCATAACTGGCATGAACCTCTAGTAAAATACTCACAAAAATTAGTGGGGAAACGACCTTTTCACATCGACTTCAATTTAGAACTATAAAGTCGTTGTTGGCTTTCACGGCGTTCGGCTTACAAACGAATCGGGTGGGGACCTATAAAAACTTCGTTTCAGATCTATGTTATTTCTTTACAGCTTAGACGAAGGAAAACAAGAATGTTTGTCCAAGTTTTCTTTTTGTTAAATAAATAAGTGAAGCCTCCAAAACGTTAGACGACAAACGAGGCAATTCCCAATGAAAGCGCCATTTCTCTTGATGTGGACCAAATTCAAAACACGGTTTAGAACACCCTTGCCTACGTGCAGACGTCTCCTATTTCCTTTGTTGCAACAAAGGAAATAGGAGACGTCTGCACGCAGGCAAAGAACACCCATGCCAAATAATTTATGAATTGATAATACGCCGGTTAACCTTTTTCTTCAGTTTAGCAGTGTGAGATACATTTTGTCAAATTTACATAAATGTAAAGGTAAAGAAGTGTCGGAGATTCAACTTTTTATGAGCTACACAGGGTATTAATGCTTTCCACCTCCTCAACAATATAAATTTGCATTCGTTAATTCATCAAAAGTACTGCATGAACACTCAGTAAACAAAAATGCGAAGTATGTCATACATACCGAGAGTTTGAGCAAAAGGCTGCACTCGAAAAGGGTTTGAAGGAGGTGCAAACTGATCAGGGACCGAAAGAGCTGGATAGAGGGCTTGCCGCCCGAGCCACGAGGTAGGCGTGCCAAAGAAAGCCCGTAGGAGGCTACAGAAAGCCCAGATCATTATTTTACAGCACTTTTGGAAGGACATCATAAGCTTCCACAAGAAAGGCTTTCGTTTAGCTTCCGACGATTCAACCCTTTAACCCAAACACTAGCCCGAGGCAAATATGTATAAAACCACTATAAGCAAAGGACATCGGAAGGAGTATGGTGAGGACGACTTATAAGGCCATCCCCATAAAATGTTTCGTTTCCCATCGCCCTCCCTCTCGTGAAGGTGGGTCGGTCGGTCGGGCAAAAAAAAAAAAAAAAAGAATGAACGCATGATTACATATTAAATCTCACGTTTAGTCTGCAAGATATAATTAGACATAGGCGTACGGGCCGGGGGGGCGAGGGGGGCTGCAGCCTCCCCAAATTTTGGGCAGCGAGAGAAAATTTGGGCAAAACCAGTTTTTTAAGGCATTTCCGTCTTTTTAAAATCATTATTTTGAAAAGATAAATATTTTCTATTTTAACCTGAAGTTGGCGTAATAATCCAGTACTGTTACATTCACACGAGACAGTGGTTGCCTAGCACGTAATGAGTTTCTGGTTATAAGGGAAGTTTATCATGCGCTGATTTTTTTTATTGTTGGGCACTGTGCTGCAATGGGCTATTTCCAGTCGTGAATTGATTAGAATAAACTTCCGCCTAACTTTCTAGAATCATCTCCGCTCGTAGAACAGTGTATGGCAGATAATGCGTCTTAAAGTGAAGAAGTGGTTGAATAATTCTCAGTTTGAATTACGCCAAGAATCGTGATTGTTTTAAAAAAATATATATCGAGTGGTTTAAAAATTATTCACTAATTTGTTAAAGTAGACCGAAATGTTTACAAAACCGCTAACAAGAGCGCCTTGACACATACTAAATACTCAAATCCATTTTGGCCAGAGCTATCTCCATGATCTTTCACCCACGTTTTTAAAAAGATTGAAACTACTATGAGGTGAAGTTGCATGTCAAAAGCGCTTCGTTTTCTACAGATAACAGCTGAACATCAAGATTTTCCTTTTTTACCGTATTTCTAAAGATAATAACTTTATCCCAAAATATCTCTGCAACGCTCTTACAGATTCCGTTTTAACTTCACGAACATCGAGGCGACTACTGGAGGAAAATGCGCCCGTGAACGATTTTGGAAGAACAGTTCCCAGTGAGAAATGTTCCTGCAAGTATAATAGGTAATGGCGTCATTTGGTTTCTATGACAACTCCGATTTTATTGCAACCCGGATCATAACAAATTTTCATCTTTATCTAATACAACTGTAGGGGAAATTTTTCCAAATGTTTGTTTATGGTGTCGTAGTCTATGCTCAAAAAATACTTCACAGGTATTGACCCTGAAAAACTGTATCAAGCCACTTTCATATGCTAGTACGGCCTATGTTGTTGCATTGTATGGGCCTCGTTTCTGTTCGACTGTTTTGTAAAAATTTGGGCAACTTGCAAGAATTTTTTGGGCAAATGGTTTACCGCCCCCCCTGGCAAAAAATTGCCCGTACGCCTATGTAATCAGATGGTAAAAGATGAATATTAACAGGACTATCAAATGTCTAAAAAGGCTACAAAAACGAAGTATCGATGATAATTTAAGACAATTGGTGTTAATAAGACAAGATCATGTGCTTGTAAGTTATAAATGTTCTGACAAAAAAATACAAAACAGAACAAAACGAAAAAACAAGAGAAAGAACTACTTACCTTGAAAGAGACTCCTGACACATATATTGGATACAATCCGTTTGAGTGGTGCCCCGCTGAAAAGTGGTTTTTGCAAGAAGAAGCTGCAGAGGCTGTAAATTACAGAGTAAAAAATAGAAAGTCAACGATCAAACTTGTGTTTTGTTGTGCAGTTGCGTATTTTTCGTATAATGCAATGTGGATTCCAATATACAGGGTGGCGCTTTGGTTTAAAGTTCTAAGTGAAGTATATTTCAATGTTTACCGGTTAGCTTAACGCAAAATATATCCTAACGGAATTTTCGTTTGTTATTATTTTCCAGTTAAATCACTGTGGTGGAATTCTTTCATTAGTTCTTCTAACCTTGGCATCGTTCTCCACCATATGAACTTGTACATAAACAAGTGTATTTGTACACACCATCCACGCAAGTCCCACCGTTTTGACAAGGATTGGAAAGACACTCGTTGGTTTCTGTTGGAAATATATAAAATAAATAAATAAATGAATAAAATAAGATTATACTGATTCTCTACGTACTGACTGCAAAAAATGATATACCTACTGGCAAGAGTTGGGCTTAGATCATTTATTTCTGTTATAGACTGTAATTGTTCGGCTTTATAAGGCTTTGGCTGATACCAATTTGCTTTTGTTAGACAACACACTCAGTTAGAAATTGTAGTCACTAGTTATCAACTAACAGAAAGGCTCGATTAATATTCATTGGTTCGTTTTTTTACAAACAGTAAATTCCAGGCTTTTAGTTCCACAGGTGCGGATAAACTACTGAAACTAACTGCTGTGTTAAAATGTCTGTCTAAAACACGACTAACTGGTTTTCAAAGTATTGCTTGAACAGCACTCGCTGAGCGCTGTTTGTCATGCTTTTTATCTCAAAAAATTTAATCTTATATTAAAGAAGTTTCCTTATTTGCTTATTTGTGCTTTTGCCTAGCTGACATGTATTGCATGCGAACAAAGCCAGACTTAATTAATTATAAATCAGTAACACTGCCTTGCCACCTTGACACCGTTTTCCAAAATATGGCGAAGGGCACGTGCATGTGTAGTTATTAATTCCATCAGTGCATGTGCCACCGTTCAAACAGGGATTACTGGAACATTCGTCAAACTCTGAAACCAAGAGAGAAAGGGTGTGCAATTACATATGGAAAATAAAACTGCGAGAAGAATTATGCTCTAACTTTACGACTAATATTCTTAGTGTACGTTTTGAAATGTACAGTCGTTATCTCCCCACCTCCTTCAAAAAAGTTCGTTTATAACTGAAATCTTTTAATGCGCAATGAGTCTGTAATATTCTACCCACCTGACTTTGAAAAAAAAGCACTATATGACTATATGGCGGGCCATCGCGTTCAAAAGTGGATATCGTGATGTCATACCTGATATCATGATATCACACTTTAGTATATACACACTCAGTGATCTTGGTGATTTAAGCAATCTGATTGGTTCGCTATCTCGGACTATTCAACAATATTCACCTCCTAGCGAGTGGATAATGTGTGAGCTCGGTGTTTTTCCCGTTTTTTTTAGAGAACGATCTTTTAAAAGTCGACAAAATCCTAGGGCTGACTTTTTTTAAGGCAAGAAAAGACTTGGAAGGATTCAATACGGCGTTTTTCAATTTACTGTCGCAGGAGTTTTGTGCTCGATGGATTGTTTACAACTCCCGTGTATTCGCGTAGAAGAAGCCGCTTCGTGAACTCAGCGTTTTCTAAGAAGAAAATTTTGGCTCAAAAATCGAAGTTTATTTATGACAAACAAATTTAAAAGGAAATGTTTGCAGAAATTCTACATTTCAAGTAAACAGGAAAAAGAATGATACAGGAAGACGACCTCTTACCTCGAGCAACCGAGCCGCCATTTTTGTCAGCACTTCATGCGAAGAACGACACAACATGCCCTTTTGGCTATAAACTTGGCGAGTCAACAGAAAACAACACAGCTCTACTTTTTTTCTCAGGTAAGGAAACAGTTCAAACTTTTAGCGATTCCATTGAAGCCATTACGCTGTTGTTTGCGAAATGAGTAAACTTGTGAATTGCCATGTTTGAAAATTCTGCAAAGATCTATTTTTAAACTTACGCGTGATTTGATCTGTCAGTCAAATCCTACTTTTGAATGGTTTCCTTTCTGATTTTGTTGAGATCACTTCGTGTGTATATACTACAACAATTATTCTTCTCAATCTCGGTGAATAGTGGCTTTGGGGCTCGGTAAATATTTTGCCACTATTCACCTCGATTTCAAAGAATAATTGTTAAATATACCAAATCATGATGTCATGATATCGTGACATCTTGACACCATGATACCTTGACACCTTGATATGTACCTGGAGTTTTGAAAACCGGGTTAGCAAAAAAATCATCTCATTCAAGCTACTACTTGGCAATTTAAAATAATAAAAAATCATTTAAAGGCCGATTAACCCTCGGGCGTACAGGGGAGGAGGGAGTGGGGGGGGGGTGGTGAGGACGTGGTTGCCCCTCCCCTAAAATTTTTCTGATTTTCCTAGACAATAAAACATCAGCACCTGAAGTTTTCTGTAGCTGTTCGTTTATCCCTCGCACACATTTTGAGACAAGTTTGGTGATGGTCAGTTACTATGGTTACGAGATATGACGTCATAAGTAGCTGGTGGTCAAGCCCTTTTTGAGTGAAAATGTATTTTTTCAACTTTTTTCAACAATAAAAGCAAAACGTGTGGATAAAGTGAATGCAAGGTAATTTTTTATGTCATTTTACATGTTAAGCGCAAAAAATTATTAATTCTCACTGTTGTTACCTGATTTCTAATTCCTGATAAAATCCAAGATGGAGGCCATGTTTGGTGACGCTACAGACCTCCAGCAGCGCCACCACCCACCCTTGTAGAAAAGATCAAAGGCTTTTCACTGCAGGCAAAATCGATTCGAAATACTGCAACATATCAAAAACTTTCAAGCCGGTATCATTTCAGTCTCGAATTTTTTAAGTTGAGTGAACTGCAGCCAAAGAGTGCCTGCTTAAGGCTTACATAATAAGTTAAATAGCTAGGAAAGTACTACTCTTTTCGCGGTCCGACAAACGGCAGGATTTTGCATGGAATAGACAACAAACTGATTGAAACATAGTACACAAATTATCACCTTCTTATCTACAAAAAACGGCCCAAATAGTTCAAAACCAAGAGCTAGCTGAAACTAGACCTAGATCCAATTTTCCTGAGTCGAGAATTGTTTTTTCAAGGCACAGTCAGCTAAGCTAAACACCGACGAAACGGTCTTTATGGCTAGCACAGAATATTTTGTTGCAACAGCTCAACCACATACGCGAGTTCTGCCTGTTAACACCGTGAGGAAATCATACAATCACACACTTTCGCGGCACTGATAAGACTAGCTACCCACAACCAAGCATAATCTTGTCACGTTTAACACAAGCGAAATATCATCAAATAACTGGGAAAAACTCGGCCTGTTGGTAGATAAACACCTCAGTAGACTTTTCTCTTACTCTCGTCTTATTCAAGTTCCCGGATGTAAAGTCACACGGTCGGCAGACTAACATAGACCGTGTTTTCATTTTCACACCAGAAAAAGATTAAGTCTTGGCCCAGGTCAAAGTTCACCTACAATTTTGCTCTCGTCTATTTAATTTGACTTCTAAAAGCCTGTTCCTGAGGCCAAAGACTTAATGATTACCTTAGAAAAGCGAACAATATCGTACCTTAAGCTGTCTCAGCCCGGATCAGGGTGATTCACCCGTTTAGCCAAATAAAACGAAAATACGACATGATAATGGACAATGCAGACTCTGCATGCGAATCGTATCAACTTTGTCCCATCTCAGAGCTTTAGATGATGCTCTCCGGGCCGTTTCTCCAGGTGACCAATAACGAAATATAAACTGCTAAACGGCACCGAAACCAGCTTTAAATTTAGGCGCGCACCGATTTCAAATAACAGTCAGACACTTGTGTTAGACAGAGAATTCTGGGTAGAGACGAAAAAACTCCCTCTTGGAAGGGAAGAATGGGGGCGGGATGGAAAGAACGCGAATTTGCGGAATTTCGTAGACAACCACTTTTACACAAATCTCTAACCACAAAACAACCAAACAAAACGACATAAGCAAACAACACAGTAAACAAGCTAAGAAAGGGGAAGTTGAGAGAAACAGTACAAAATGTTTGCTGACCCCCGGTTTTCATAAATCCAGGTAAATATTATTTAAGATATCTTGACACCTGATTATCGTGCAAGATATGATCTTGCGGATATAAATTATATCTGATATGCTGTTGTTGTTTTTTATTTCTGAGTGACGAAATGTGCCTGCGCGATTGAATTTTTTTTTCCTTGAATTAAAGAGTTATTCTGATCAGAGAAAAAATGGACTACCCTAATCTTTTTTTAACGATAATATTCAGTCCATGTAATTTTGGGCTCCCCCTGGCCATTTGCACGGAAGAGCACACCCTAGAAATCTAAAGAACTTTTATTAAGGAAGCGATCCACGGTTAAAAAATGTTGTTTAATATACTGTTAGCAAATGTACAAAGCGAATATACGGCATTTTATGCATTTTTATTGCATGTTTATTCACAATTCGGAAACGTTTCTTGTCGTTTGTTTAAATCGAGGTTGTACCCCCCCCCGGGGGGAGGGACTCCCTCTGATAGCGAAAACGGGGAGGCTCCGCCCGCAGGTTTCAGGTATATGAAAGGGTAGGGATTTCACTAGTTCAAGTCAAGAGCCATAAGGGAGTTAAGTTAAGGGAGTTTAGTCACGACCCTTCAAGAGTCTCAAAATTTGACTTTCCGACTTTACGAGCTAGCACTGCAGAAGACTGTAGTGTAGGCCGCGGGTGACACCTATTCACGAATAAATTTATGGGGTAAAATTTTGCTTCTGCTAAATCTATTTTAAAAACACTTATATCTCGGCTGTTTTAGAGGCGATTTAGATAAAATTTTACAGAAAATTTGTCTATGTTAGTCCTCGTCACTTCGTACCGTAGGCCTTAAACAAAAGCATAACAATGAGCCCAAGGTATCCCCCGCAACCTTAATCACTTAAATAAATCAAGGACGTAATTAAACATATTATACCCATCATACAAAAGTTAGCTAAAGTTTCTACGGATATAAATTAATTTTTGAATGTGCACTCTTTATGACGAAAATGTGGAATGTGCTCTAATGAACTAATTCATTTGAATATACAGTGTATGCTATTCAACCAACCTTCACAAGTCCTCCCTTTATGTGTTCGAGGGCAGATACAGCTGAATTTTCTGTTTCCGTTTACACAGGTCCCACCATTCAAACACGGGCTACTGGTGCATTCGTCATAATCTAGTTTAAATATGACAAATAATGTATATATTATAGGTTGAATGATGAGAGCTCGCCCGCCGTTTTATTGCCCTGACGTTATGAATAAATGAATTGTATACGTTTTTGAGTCGAGAGCCGTTTTCAGTGAAATAGAGTCCAATGCACATGATAAAAGATAACGTAGCCCGCAAATCTATAGCTACGCTGCCTGAAATCAGTTGTAAGCCAGCACGTATAAACGAACCGAGTATCAACTAACGCCTCTTTATGTAGGATAGCAGGGCTTTTTGATTGAAAACAGTTTTCTTAGTGGCTAGCCTATTATGCCCGACCAGTCGAAAGTGGTAAACTGGCCATTGTTAATATGATTGGTCAAGATCCTTTTAGTAGGTCGGAGGAGAATGCGATCTTTACTGTCCTTAATACGACACTTCACAGAGAGTGTCAGCTGTGAGCAACAAAATACATTTGACATGCACGAAAATTATCCTTGTACATACAGCTACTGCGAACTTGCTTGCAGAAAGGCATTCAAGCATTTTTGGGCTAACTTTTGCAGAAGGCTAACCAACATATTTAAAAGGAAAACAGAAATTAACATCTCACTTTTACATTTCCAAATCAGAGATTGGGGAAAATTAAAGGAATTTATACGATTGTAAGAAACCTGTGCTAGAATAAAGAACTGTTATTGAATGGGTTTAAATTTTCCAATCACCGTGTTCCAAAAGATGTTTGTATGCAACTGGCATTCGTGCTTTAAAAACATTTCACATACCTTTCTTGCAAGCATATTGGTGGCAAACAGAACAATCCACATCATTCCACATGTACCCATGCCCTGGTCCAAGAGTGTGAACACAATCTTCATCTCTGAAGTTGTTTGGTTGATTCTGAGCCCAGTAGCGGAATTTAAAAGGACAGCCATCCACCCAGGCGAATACTCCTTCAGTGGCAATATCATTCAAACCAATCCACGCCTTATCACCATTGTGTCTGTGTTGAATATACACGTTTTCTTCCTGGCTTTCAATGGCGGGTAGATTAGCTCCCATGGATCGGCAGATTAGACTTGCGTTGGCCCATGTCTCACATTTTTCACTTGTAAAGTAACAGGAACCGTTATAGAAGCTCCATCCGTGTGGACAAACATCTTTAGAACACAAACATGAACGGCAATAAATTAAGAAATAAGTCTCCTCTCAAGCTCTAAAGAAAGAACCAAATATACTGACTACTCTCACAAAAACAAGGGAGTTTTGTAGCTTGCAGTGGCTATATGTCAAAAAAAAAAAGAAGAAAAGAAAAGATCGCCTGCCTGCTCGACTGCATTGAAGACCTACTTAGCTTGCATGTCATAACCCAGTCGGGATGGACTTTATTGAAGGTAGTTTCATAATCAGTTATCGGCACTGTGCCGAGTGACATCATAACCGAATGTCAATGCTTTCTCACCTGGTAAGACTGCGTATGATACTGACAGAGGATCATGTTGTTGTACAAACAGCTCCTTCACGCAGGCTCTAAAACCGGTCTTGTTTATGTACTGACAGAGAAAAGACGCAGTAATCAGAGAGAACTGGCTGCGAAAAGCTGTCGCGTCACTGTCGGCCGGATTCAAAAACGCTCGTATTGACATCGCCTAAGCCCCATAGGTGTCGGGTTCCACTGTCTTTTCGTTTGCTGGTTTGTTTTAGTTTTTGTTTCGTTTTCAGTTTGCTGTTTTGTTTAGGAGAAAACGAAAGAAAACCAGTAAGAAAAGCGATGGACCCCGTATGCGCTCCCGCGTTTTATTAACACCTGTTGCTATTATGCAGCTACAACCCCATAGCAGAGAGCAAGGGAGGCAACCTATTCATAAACTCACGTGACTCACTTCCTACACCGCGACGCACCTATGTAAAGACCTTGTTTAGAAAAAAATGAAATGAAAATTTATAATGCTTATTGATTGAAAAATCGCTCTTTCATTTTAAAATAACTACTAACCTCAGCCCAAGCTGATATGGAGTTGTACAATGGATTAAGGTTTCCTCCGCTCGTTGTATGGTTTGCACACACCAGCACTTCAGGAGAATCATTGTAATACTTTTTGAAGACAACATCCTTACAAAAGAAAAGAAAAACAAGTGAGAAAGCGAAAAATGAAACATTAATCAAGGCTAGTGTTAAAAATAACATGAACATTTCAAAGCGCAGAGGAAATTTAAGACATCCCTGCTGTAGGAGAATGACAATTTTGTTATTTCAGTACAAAGCGGGTCTTGGCGTTGAACATGGGAATCACCTCCCTGTGTATATCCAAGATAACCGAGGGTATCAATGAAAACCGCAAGCAGAACGCATTCGAACGATAGTAGGCGCAAGTGAGTGGGCGAGTCGCTGAATTGAGGGGAGTTCGGTTGGAGAAAAGGTCATTCCAGCGGAGATAAGAGAGAACATACCTCACAAAAGGCATAGTTCATATCCTTAGATGGCTTGTTCACATTAGAAAAGTAAATAGCACCATGCTCTCTGAAAAGAGGTCGATGAAGTTCTTCAAAAGCTATCCAGTCCTGCCAACAAAAGAATTAATTGTCAGGTAACCATCTTCATGTTGGGGGCATATAAAATAGTTAATAAAAAATCTATCAGAAATGTGTAAGACGGAAGTTGATACTAAGTAAGTTTGAAAAAAAGCCCTAAAATTTTTCTGCTGGTGATCGCATCACGCATGCTCCACATCAAACAAATTGTAATTTTAAGGCCAAAGCAAAAGAGGTAAAGTCGTACAGTAACTTTCAATATAAAACTATCAAGGCACATCTGCGAGCAAAAAAGATTTTCAAACCCTAAAAACATTTTTATTTAGAACAACATTCTTTGTAATTTCAATAACACCCTATTTTGCCTAAACTTGTGCCTTTCCAGCAGAAAAGTGCTGTATAAAGGATAATTTGACCACCATACCGTTAAAACAGGAATTCAAATGAGCATAAAGCTCACTCCCGGGGGTAAAAAGTGCAAATAACAAATATACGAAGCAGCTTACAATATGGATGCTTTCATGAGCGCCGTCAAAGTTTTGTAACTCTCTGACGCAGATCTTGAAGGAGGCTGTCGTCACATCTTCAACCCACACAGAGGAAGCATCATGCTTTACACCGCGCCTTTCATGCTCCGCTGACACTAGGACTGTGGGCGCTGAAGTAAACTTTCTCTGTGATGACGACAATCGAGGCAAAAGGAACATTGTTAGAAAAAGGTTTCAAATATATGTTTAATAGAATTCAAACTTAAAAATCGAACTTCTTTTTATATTTTTGAAGAAAAAAGACGGTGATATCATGTACGAATTACTTAAATAATATTCGATGTTATGACAGCTATATAAATGCAACAATTTATGGTTTATGGTAGGAAAAAAGTATTTTGTGTAAATATATTTTATTAAAAGGTCTAGTCAAGGACGCAAATAAAAAATAAATGAAAATCTAATTTTTCTTATCATTTCTTATAATTTCCTTCCATTATACCCTATAGACATCACTTTCATGAGGAATTTTAGTATCTTTTCAGGTCCGTAAGAGTCCTGTCGCTCATGTACTATTGCTGATTTAGTTAAGGTTGCTCAGTCATCAATGCAGGCGCATTTAGCTGTGACGAAGTTTTGCAAAGAACAACAGATATCATTCGGCAATAGTACGAAATATTCCGATTTCATTGATGGTAAATATTTCTTGAGAAATTAGCGCTTAAAAGGACCCTACCGTTCAAAGAAAATCGCGTCTACTAAGTGACAATTTGCTGATATTTTTTACTGAAATTTCTGGTATCGGCTTTAATTAATATAACAAATACGCCAGAGGAATTTCAGAAAAATCGTTGGAGCACTAAGTCCGCAACTAAAAGTCGATCAAAATTTACCAGTGAAATTGTTTTGAAATTTCAAAAATAAATTACTATTGGGTAGAATGGGACAACAGTTTGAATTTTCGGTACAAGTAAATTCAATGTTTGCTAATTCTTAAAACAAAAGCTGATTGCCTATCGTGCTATTCTCTAAAAGGTACTTTTTAGTTTTAGAAGCACAATATATTGCTCCAAATCTTGCTCTGAAGTAGAATGACTTGTTCCTCGAAATTTTTAAAATATTCCTTGGCAGTTTTGGCTCAAACTCCTGTCACATACATTTTCATGTATTGCAATGCAATTTCAACGACTTTTACTCCTGTTCGTTGCTTCCGACTCAGGAAAAAGGTATTGAGATTGGACGCTACCTTGCATCAGAGCTCAGATGGAACTGTCCAGCACCTTTGTTTATGACTACAAAATGAGCATGAGTAGCAGTCCTGCAAAGAATTCGCACCTCACCGAGGGGGAACGAACGACAATGATGTCCATGCCTGTGAACCGAATTACATCACAGTGCAAAATAAAATTATCGCAAAACTACTGCCCGTGAATAAATTTACAACTCTGAAATTTTTGTCACTCCTTCCTTCAATGAATGGGTAGTTTTTTCTTGATTATTATGTTTTGCTCTGCAATACATGTTTATACAGATCGGTTCGTCATCCCCCCGGCTGAGGTGCGAAGTCCTCGCGGACCGGCCGCTCGTGCTCATTTTCTGGTCATAAACAAAGGTGCTGGACAGTTCTATCTGAGCTTCAATACAAGGTAGCTTAAAATCCCAATACCTTTTCCCTGAATTGGAAGCAACGTACAGCAGGAAGAGCCGTTAAGGATGCATTGCAATACATCAAAATGTACGTAGCAGGAGTTTGAACCAAAACTGCCAAAGAGTATTTCAAAATGTCGAGGAACAAGTAATTCGACATCAGAGCAAGGTTTGGAGCAGTTTATGGTGCTTCTAAAACTAAAAAGTACCTTTTAAAGAATAGCACGATAGTTAATCGGCTTTTGTTTTCAGAATTAGCAAACATTGAATTTACTTGGCCCGAAAATTCGAACTGGTGGCTCCTTCTACTTGATAGTAATTTATTTTTGAAATTCCAAAACAATTTCACAGCTGAATTTTGATTGACGTGCTCCAACGATTTTTCGGAAATTTCTCCGGAATATTTATTATATCAATAAAAGACGATACCAGAAATTTCAGTACAAAATATCAGCAATTTTTTTATGTAGACGCGATTTTCTTTGAACAGTAGGGTCCTTTTAAGCGCTAATTCAGTTTCTCAAGAAATATTTACCATCAATGAAATCAGAATATTTCGTACTATTACCGAATGACATCTATTGTTCTTTGCAAAGTTTCGCAGCCATCGCGTTAAAAACGAAAAAGTTATCAGGGAAAATTTGTCACACTGAGCTAAATGATCCAGTATCAATGACGGAGCCACCTTAAAAGACACTATATGAACTTGACAGTACTACAAATTGAACTCACCGAGGGGAGCGACACTGTGCGACAGCTCGTTCCAGTCCACCAGGTTGGCATATCCATTTCACCCGACACTCCCCCGTCAGGGGCTCCCTGGTATGCCAGCCAGTCCAATGTGGCAAACGTTTCTCCATTTCTCCTCTCGTTTCTACCAGCCTGTGTGACACACACTGTGAAATTGTTCCCCATGATGTCTTCAACCCAAGCAACCACTGCCTCGTGAACATAGGCTGGGTCTGAGAAGTTCACGTGATTGACAGAAACCTGTATTTGAACCGGTTTGTCAGGATAAAAGACGTAAGGTTCCAGTGGAACTTGTTCGCAAACTGCTTCAGCCCAGACTGGGTTGTGACTGAGGCGATGACGGCCTTTTTGGGAAGGGAATCCTGAAAACAAACAATAACAACAACAACAACAAAAACTTGTAAGATTGTTTGGTTAAAAAATGTCCAGCCAAGATTGAATTGAATTTAAGATAAGCCACAAAGAAGACAGCAGAGCTTGACAACTAGAAACTATAAAGGCTCTATTAACCAAGCTTTCATCAAGATTGAATTTAAAAGGAAATTGGAACCGAATTTTTGAGCAGGTACGTCAGCAAAATTTAAACACTGCCTTGCTGGTAACATCAAACGTTACTCACGAGTGAAAATCATGAGGAAGTTTATTCAACTGTGAGATTATCCACACCGCAGGGAGCCAGAAAACAATGAAGAACTTACTTGTCTAAAACATGCAACAAAATATAATGACTGACAAGCAAAATTACCTGTACAATCTCCTGGGTGATAGACAGTGAAGTTTGCCCGGAGATGACACATTTCTCGCTGGAACACACACACGTTATCGTATGTTGTTCCATTGGAGGAACACACAGGCTCCTCGAATGATGGACAATTATTCACGCAAATGCACCGCGCGTCCCTGGGACCAAACGCCTTGCAGACTGCAAAGTACTTGCAGGAAACATTGATGCACGGGTCAAGATCTGTTAACAAATGATACGCACAACAATTCAAAATGCCAAATCTTGGCAAAATCAAATGTAAGTTCTCTTATTTATTTATTTATTCATTTATTTATTTATCCATTCAATTAATTATTTTGTTCGTCACTTAATTTGCTAACTGTTTCTGTAATTTCTGCAGATCTATAAGTCCTAACTCTTCGTTACTTTTTGGGATCTTCGAATCGAGTATGAAAAACATAAGGGGAGCACTGAATGGAAGTGTTCTTCGAGCCTTCTTTCGACCATCCTTTGTAGTAGTTTCAAGGGACCTACGAGATCAAGACTGAGGAAATGCTACGGCAGCAAAAGAGACTGTAACACTACATTTTAGTTCTAGAATATTTACCTCCAATAACTGTGTAGTGAACAGTAACTGGATCATGTTGGCTTTCCATTCCTGCCAAGTCCTTAACGCATACGCGAAAAGTTGAAATCGTTATTTCCTGCGGTCACAAATCGTAAACACTCACCGCATTAGATAAAAGATAAACATGTTGGGAATCTATTAGTTAGCAGCCTACTTTAACGTAAAAATAACTTAATTTTCAAGTTGCAATTAAGCCTTCGGATGACAGTAAAGAACGTAGCTATTTTACCTCTATCCAGGCGTTTAGAACATTGTTCTCCGGCTTAACAGAATAAACGTTATTGCTGTCATAAAGATGACTGACTGTTATCATAACAACTGGAGGTGCGTAAAACGTCTCGGTATAGTTAAGAACCTGTGAAGAAGGGACAAGAAGCAAAGTTAGCCTGCATTATTGATAACAGGGACAGGGGAACGGAAAGAGAGACGAAAAACGAACAGCAAAAGTACCATTCCACCTTATTTTCATCACGTTTTACATTTGCTACACATGTTTAAGGCAACACAGGACATGATAATTGTATTTCGTCCGAAAATTCAAAGCGGATTGAATTCTTTGATTTGTAGCCAAGTTCATCATGGCTTAGCTCTACCAACTGCAAGACAAATAAGTTGCAGTAAAATTCCAAATATCTAATTTTTCAACGTCCCACTGCCAAATTTGTCTATTACCTTGCAGAAAGCGAAGTTGTCTCGTTCCAGTGGAGCCCCACCGTTTTCAAACTGAAGTTTTCCATGAAATGTCATCTCACCAGTTCCCTGCGTAAAGGCCAACCAGTCCTAGAAAACAAAACAACTTGTTGTAGTCAGTTGCTAATTTAGTATTTGCTGCATAGAGAGGATGCTGTAATTGTGAAACTGATGAAGCTAATAACTCTGCCGAATGGTGAAATTTTAACAAAAGGAATCAGAGGGTCATTGACGCCTTTTCGACGATTTGATAACCTTAAGGGACCCCGATAATTAACGGGCCCGGTATAAGCTGTCCCCGTTTACATCAAGGATCGAGGTTTCAATAGTTTTGCATCTATCATGATAAAACTATCAGTTAATGAAACAAAATGGAGTAGTTTGCTAGCCAGGACCCGCGCTCTTATTCTTTATATTCCGATTTGAGTATTTTATTTCGGGCCCGTAAAGTTACTGGGACTTCCGAGAAACGGGCCCCGGTCCGATATTTCAATTTACTTTTACCTCAGAAGACTCTTTCTACTTCATAAGACTCAACCGAAAATGACAGAAAACTCAGACAGTGTTTTGATAATCCTCATTTTTAAAAGTGTATTTAACAACAGAGCTCGTGTGAAAATTATTACTCACAAACAATTAAAACTCATGTAACAGACCAACTTACCACTTGAATATTTTGGTGCTTGCCGTCAAATGTTTTTACTTCCCGCAGGCAGACTCTAAAGTGGTCTTCCTGTAACTCTTCTATCCACATGTTCATGGCGTCTAGTGGCCTGCTGATGCTCGTGTGACGTACAGTTGCCAACACTTTTGGAACAGAAGGAAACCTCTGCAAACCAAGATGGAAGCTATTAAAGCTGCTGTTTCGGTTGACAAGGAGTTTGAATATTTTCACAATAACATGTGCAAAGCAGCTGTCACTAGCGCATCATGGTTTAATTCAATTAACAAACTACGGTCTTCATGGTAGAAATAAGAACATAGGTTAAGATGCGAGTGCCAAGTCTGAGAAAACTCGAGGCGAACCGCGTAAACTCTGGGCAAATCTAGTAAAAGAAGAAATAGGACCCCATTCTCGCTGCAACTATGACGTTTGACGCTTGATTAAAACCCAATAAATACAAAATGAATTTTGACAAGCTTTGCTGTAGCTTGTTTCGAAGCGTTTTATAAGCCCCATTAGCGATCCTAAGACCCCTTACGAAGATGTATAAACCCAGTAGTTTACGGAATACAAACAGCTCAGTGATTAGAGCATCCGACCGGTGTACGGAAGGCAATAGGTTCAATTCCTCTCGGGGACTCATATTTTTTCATTGTTCCATGCTCGTGACATAATGATTACATCATTTGTCGATATTGTAGTAATACCCAGATTACCCTGGCCTTCGATCAGTATAGAATTATAGGGCCTAGGAGTGCCAGCCTACCCCTCCCCTAACCAAACTTTTGGGCTTATTTAGAAGTTATTGTCAACTTTGGGTACGTGGGCAGTTTACCCTTGCCCACAAAGAAACTTTGGAATTGACAGTCAACTGTAAATATTATTTTAACAAAAGATTAAAACGTCGGTTCTATCTAACTTAATCAATCAAAACGCAATAATTCTTAGTGGCCAAGAAGTAAAAAACATAATCCACAATGGTATTTTAGCCCCATCGTTTTTGTAACTGGGCGTTAAATAAACATTTGTTTCAAAAGCTAAAAGTCACTCGAGTAGCATTAACTCCTCAAGTGTAACTAAGTGGGGAAGAATGCGGTGACATTTCGCTATTCAAATTCAATTAACTACACAAGTAAGTACTTAACTTCCCCCTAGCAACCATCCCCATCCAATGTAGCTAACTCTGTGGAAATTTCATCAGTTCTAAGAAATCCTCTTGGTTTATAAAAAATAAATTTTGAACACTCAAAAAGAAAAAAAATAAACGATGAACTGAAACCATACCTGAGCAAAGTCAACTCTTTCACATTTTGTTCCGCTGGTGAACGCATTGAAGGAGGCGGCGCCGTCGAGGGCGCCAGAGGGCGTGCCACGAAACGCAATCCAGTTCACTACAGCAGATCCATTTGTACCAAGGCCTGACTCTAGCACGCAAATGCGGAAGCTGTTCTGTGTCACATCTGTAGTCCAAACGACTGCTGAATCGTGGACACTTAGCGTTTCGTTTTCATGGCTGATGGATGCGAGTACACGGATGTTACTGGAACTGGAAAATGCTTGAGGATATTGCACGGTTCTGCAGTGGAGCAAGCTTGGAGATACAACGGTAAAATTGACCTTTCCATGCTGCAGAAGACTTTGTCCTGAAAGTGGAATTGTTGACAAGTGGGTAATGGAATAATTAGCGAGGTGGAATGGCGGTTCACTTCGGGTCGGTCACAAGCTATTTTCTACAAACTGGCAGCTCTGTGTGTTTTTAAATTACTGACTTATTTAAACAAGACGAAACTTTTGGTAAAGATAGTTAAGTCCCGTAAACTTTTAAGAAAATCAAAAAACTGAACTCAAAAGTTCACACTGAGGATGTGAATTGTGTATGGTAAAAATAAGGGTACAATGTACTGCTTCGGGTGGTGCGCTTAATTTTTTATTCAGTGCCCAGTTTTATCTCGAGCTGAAAACTGTTTTGATGTCCCCAACCCGCCCCCCTAAAAATCTCAAGTAACTCGAGTCTGTTTCTTAACTGTATTCTGGAATAAACTCATAAAAATGGAACTGTATAAATCTTACCTTCAGCCAGAAACGATCCTGTACACAAAATCAAAGTCGTCGCCACTATCCGTGCACCTGGGAACGCCCACATCATCGCAGAGGAAGATGCAGCTGCTAGGGGCTTGACTTGTGCGCTTCGGGTATCGTCGATACCTCTGACGAATTCTCGCCTCGTTTTCCTTTAAAAGGCTGCATCGATTCAATTGATCAAGGAAAATATTCTCATCTACTGTTTCCGGGTAAAATTTAAGAGAATATAACATTTTAACAAACCGGAAGTAAAATAATGAGAGAGTAAAAAGTGAAAACTGCATTCTGATCAGATTGAAAGTAGTGTTGAGAAAATAGAACTTGATCGATAAGGTGACGTATATAATTTATCAAAATTACGAAAGAATTGTGCCAGGCCACCTGTCAAGCTCTGGGAGAATAACTTTACATTGATCTTTAAAAATAACAACGAAAAAATGGTAGTCATTTCTTAATCCTTTAATATTGATGGAAATTGTAACTCATTCTATTTTAGGACGTTAAACTTCTAAAGTGGAGCTTTGCCAACTTTCCTCAGACTGACGAGATTAGGCAGACGTAATGTTGCAGTTAATTTTTCAGTTCAGTTAATTTTTTATTTCTTTGTTTTTGGGTATAGTAATGTATGCTAAAGAATTTGAAACAAAGGAAAAATAAAAATGAACTGAAATAAAAAAAAAATTAACGGCGGAATAAATATTTCATTTTCACTTTCCTACTTCGTACCGTGTGGCACAGATACACCCTGTCAATGAGCTTGGACTGTGACATGTTTTGAAGGGTGGACTTCATATTAAAGCAAAGAGAACATTTGGGACCGAACACTTACTCGACCGCTTCGAAAACAATGACAAGTCCAAGAAATAATGTTCGTGCAGGTTTTCACAGAGAATAAAGATTACCCATTAATCTTTACAACATTAGCTAGGTAACAATAAGTACCTGCAAAGGGACATTACTCTATGGAGTACAAGGTTAAGTTGCAGTTGGGCAACAGGGGCAACCACGTGGTTAGAACTCAATCTGCTTCTGGGAAACAAAGTCCTGCTCATAACTAATCCTCTCCTTTACCCCCTACCGCGCCGTCCACTGTAATCTTCAAAATTGCATCATTAGTAAAACAGACAAAGAAATCATTCATTGGGAGAGGAATCAAAAAAAATAAAAAAATAACGATTAAGAGGTAGCAAATTCACTAAGTGGTTCTTCGTCTACCTGATTCCTGGTTGAATTGGAATTTGGAAATATTGATTTTTGAGGTGAAGGGAAAACAGGAGTACCCTGAGAAAAACCTCTCGAAGCAAAGGAGAGAACCAACAGCAAACTCAACTCACAGATGGGGTCGGACCAAATACCAAACACTTGTCTTTCTTACCAAGGTGTGCAGCAACTATTTTAACCAATCTATGCGATTTACACCGCGGGACCCCACTTTTACAGTATTATGCACCTCCTTAAGCTCGACTACCAGCCGCTGTCAGGGAGGATCAATAACCGGACTCAGGAGAGCGGCAGAAATCGAGCCTAACACTTCATCAAAATTCGCCTCAATAATAAAAGAGCAAGCTCTATCAGCAAAGGGTTTTTTCCTTACTGAAACAAACAGATTGCATTACTAAAAAACCTAAGGAGATTCCTTTTATTTCTTTTATAGTTTGGGTGCAAATATAATACATGTGTTTGACATGAAAATCATTTCCGTCAACATAAGAAGAAAGACGAATGTACGAACAGCACCAAGGGGTCGAGCTAAAACCGTTACCAACTGCAAAATTCAGTTCCATAAGAGGAATAGTTTCTACTTATCAGAGTTTATGCCAGAGAACAACACGCGGTAGAAATGTAAAGTCACAAAACCCCGGGGGTACTCCCATATATGGGCTATATAGGTACGTGCCGCGGAATAGGGTATGGTTTTTGAGGTTCTCGGTCCTTAAATAGGGTATCTTTTTTGACCCTTTTGTTTCTGTGTCCCTGGTGTGGTCCTTAGATAGGGTAGCTTAATTGTATTATCTAATACTGGAGTGTGAAAACGCCCGCCTAAACGAACATTTTTTTTTTTAAACTAGGCCTATTCTGGTATTTTATGCTTGATGCTATACATCCAATGTTACAAAGAAGAAATAAAGTTTTCCTTTTCATGCCATTAATAATTTTGTTTTTTCCTTGAATAGGGTGTCATTTTTCCGCTTTCGGCCTTAAAAATGGTATCAGTTTTCGCTTTCTTAGTCCTTAAATAGGGTTAGGGTTCACGAACCTTCGCGGCACACCCCTATCCAAAATTCGCGGGAGTACCCCCGGGCACAAAACCAATGGCTTTGACGAGGACGCCGGGCAATTTCATTAGATGTCTCTAACTCAAGCGTCATACGCACATATAGTTGGTCATATGTCGCGAATGAAATCTTGATCACCTAAGAGGCACAGACCAACAAAGACAGCTTCCTCGTAGCCTTTTACCGTCTTTGCTTTGACTCTTCATGGCGCATAGTTATAGCATCAGTTCTGAGCGATGTGTATCCATGACGTTACGAGTCAAATTTTTCTCTACAGATATTCTTGCCATGTTCATCGTACTCCGCTTTAGTGACGCACATCTTATTAAGAAACGTGTCTGTCTTGGACAGGGAAACTCCGCCTTCCCATGCATGCGTTATAGGCCTAGAACAAAGACGATTTTCTCGTAACGATGATAGTAGTGGCTCGGGTATTACACCATTAAATTACACTATGGTGTAGCTGAAGATTTAAGGGTCTGGGGACAGCCGCATATTCCGAAAAATCTCTAGCGTGAGTAAACATAGCATCAATAGTCGCAAATTCTTCGTGGACAAAGTTCTTGAAGTCTATTCTTGGATTCGCTACTATATTATAACGTGAAAATTAATATAACGGACTATATAAAAATTTAATTCACTGGCTGGCGACGAATCGCAACAAAGTCTCAACTTACAAGGCATATTACGCTACGAAATGTTGGTAAAGGTAAAACGATCAGGCTTTGTGCTAAGAGCACATTGCTTCTAGATCTGAAAATACAAGAACTAGCTACTTCAACTACTGATAGAAAAAAAAATCAGCAGCTCACTCAGGGAACCAGTATGGTAATAACCTAACACAAAATGGCCCTTATGTAGCTTGTGTAGCAAGCGTTTCCGCGCGAGCTAGTAAAGAAAGCTGGGACGAAAGCAGAAAATAGGAATCAAGCGGGAGGGGGAGGCGGAGGGGGGGGGGGGGGGTAAGGAAACATAACTAGCAACATAACTACAAAATCATGGCTTACTTTGAAGGACAATGAACAGCGACATCGACATCACAGGGAGCAAGAGATCGAACTTCAGAAAATCTAAAAAGGGACGAAAAACGGGATTAGAGAACTAGGAATCACATGACGACCTCCTTGAAGGCGTCAGAGACCCAGAATCAATACGTAAAAACAAGAGTGAGTGAGGAAATATGTGGAGAAAACTAGACAATAACCTTAAACAACACAACTGTAAGAGGCTCAACTAGTATATATACAGGGTCAAGTAATTGACTGATGCGTATCTTGTCTAGTTAAAGAGCGTAAAATATGTATCTTACAATAAAGGCCCGAGACTGCAGTAGAGATGACATAATGAATAAAAACGACTACCGCATACTAAAAAGTGAGATATGAAGATAACGCAACCCTACCTTAGACTTACATATATATAAAAAGGAGCACATAAAGCTTGCTTTCAAATCGAGTCTACATGCTGAACGTCTAACATTCCTCTACCAAGCTCGCCCAGATTCACAATAAAATCAATACTTAAGTTGGTTCTAGTTCTGATTATTCCTAGAAAATAATCTAACTTTACGCACTACTAGAAGGGTAGAAATCAAATAAAATAGACCTTCCCACGGTTTTTTCAACATTTGACATGCAACAGTTAAGGAAAATCCGTCGACACCAAGGAAACAGCGCTTTTATTTTATTTATTTTATTAGATTCGCCAATTATTGGCAGGGTCACCGCAACAGTATGACACCAATTACTGCGGGCCCGTAACAGTCCCTTCCCCCATGAGAGATAGACCACCACACTGGGGACTTTTACGAAGAGTGTGTGGGTTCTTTAAAGTCCAACAGAATTTATATATGCAAGGGTTGTGAGACGGGGCCTACGGTTTATCGTCCTTAGCCGAGAAGACTAGAAAGTCTAACCGTTTGCAGATGTCTTACAAAGGCAGCACTTTCTCCTCAGTTATTTAAAGACCCTGAGTGTTGGTCCGGCCGGGACTTGAACCAGCGGCCTCCCGCTCGGAAGACTGGCGCTTATCCAACTGAGCTAACCGGGCGGCGGTTTTATATCAGTAAAATTGCCAAGTTTGAAAGTGATGAGTCTTAAACGAGCGAAGATGCAGCTCCGCAAAGTTACGAAAATTTACAAACGTTTCTAAGGCGGGGGGCAAGTTTGTGCCCCCCCCCCCCACTCCCCCCACCACCATACACACAAATGTAAAATTTCGTGTCTCAGAGGAGCTATACCTTTGTATCGACAGATCACTTTACTGATTTAAAGGCGCTCTTTCCAACGGATGTCGACGGTTTTCTCCAGCCCCTCCATGTCAAAAGTTAAAAATAAAACGTGGAAATGTCTATTGCGCTGATATGGTTCGCTGTTAGGCTCGATTTCCAGTCGTTTCCTGCGCCCTTGTAACGTTGTTGGGAGGAGGATACAAACTGCTGGTAAACGACTTCCTCAAAACGGCTGCAGAACGAGCCTAGTTGCCTATGAGCTGGCTAAAAGTTTGCTCTCAGGGCTCGATGGTCTTGATTATTAGAAAAAGGTGGTTAATTACACTCTCTCTTTCATTCCAGGGAACAGAGAATTTCCTCCAGTTAGTAGTATGTTCATGTAGCAATGCGGCTGCATTTCTGAAAGAAAATGGAGAAACAGGTGTTACAAATGTCCTCCCGGGACGGGTATCTCACAAAAGAGTCGTTTTTCCTTAAAGGATCCTACTATTGAATTACCGAAAGACTCGACTGATTTTTGTCTGATTTTTTGCTTCTGTCATTAGCATATGCTTTTTAGTCTCTGATCAAGCTATGGAAAAAACATGTATGAGTATACAGTAATGCTACTAATCTCTAAAAATTTGTGCGCGATGTACTGAACTGTTTCGAATTGTTTTCTTTTAAAAACGTTTTAAAAGAAGAATAATCCGAAACAAGTGAAATGTTAAAAAGATTGTATGGCTCATTAACTTTCTTGCCACCCCAGAATTTTACAGTTTTTGATGGCTACTATTTCCTTGGATATTACTTGAGAAGGTGTGTGCGTGAGGCTGGCGACCTTAGCGCCTTGAAAACCGATATTGAGAAAAAATAAAAACAAAAAAGCAACTGTTTGAAGAGACAGATTGACGTTTCCGTTTTGATGCCACTCATATTCGAAATGTTACTGCCATTATTTTTGAGGACTGCAATGATGAAGAGCACGTAGCGAGCGCTGTTTATAAAGTTTAATCGGTAACTTACAACAAAAGAAAGGGAATACTGACTAGCTGGAGAGTTCCAATTCAAATTAATTTTGAGTTTAAAGACAGAGGATGTTAATAGAAGTCTTAATTTGTAATTATGATATAGCACTGACAACATTCAGTCATGGAAACAGTTTAGTAATAAATGATTCTGTAGCAACATAGGAGTAAAGGCAGTTTTTGAGCTAGGCTGCACTGTACAACCACAACATTTAGTACAAATAAATCACGTACCAATTGGCAACTGTTCTATGGCGTGGTTAATTGCCTCTGGGATTCCCATTTCTTGGATTCCTACAAGCCAAAAGAATTCCGTTACCATTGGAAAAAACTCCGAGAAACCCAGAAATGGAGGTAATGGGTGCATCCAATCCACTGGAAGCCCACCGGTGACAGATTAAATACTATAAATACACGTTTGCAGCAAGTTTTGTTCTTTTGACTCCTTACCTATATCCGATGGATGAAAAAGCAACTCTGGAACAGCAAATCGTTCATTGTTCATTCGTAAGATCTTTAAGAGAAGGGAAAAACACGTTACAAGGTATTACATATATGGAAACATAACTTCATTAAGTTCAGGGCCTTACTGTTTCTTTACCTACGCAAGTAACAGGACAAAATGATTATCATTTTTTTTCTCACTAATTCACAGAGTTAAACATCTAATAGACTGCAAAACATTCGGTTTTTTTAATCAAAATTGCTTTTAAAGAACCGCTGGTGTGAGATTTGTACTTGACCATAAAAAGTGTTAGGCGAGGGAATATTTCATATCTCACCCCAGTGTCAAAACACTCGACAGGATTTAACCATATTGAACAATTACCTGTTCATTCTCTTTCTTTGATCCAAGCAACATTTCTGTTGCAGACTGAAAAAAGAAAGAAGATAAATAACCTCAGCTTAAAATTTATAGAGGCTTGCCAGCACATATAATGTTATGAAGATTCCTTGTTCTTTTTGCCATAAAGAGAATAGTAAATTACATTTATTTAAATCACATCTATGATTGACAAAATGTTCCGACTGACAAGCCCCTAATTTGTTAAAATTAATTAGAACCTTCTATTTTAGTGGAGACTGTGACTAAAATTGCATCTCTCTGAAAGAACCTTCATAAAAATCGACTATCAGTCTGTTTTTTCCTTAAAGTTTCTGTCTGTTGTCTTTTGCACTGAAATAATACATTATCCACATCAAAACCACACAAAACCTTAAAACAATGAATCCCACTGACCTTAACATAGCCTCTCTTTATGTGTGTGTAGTCAGGTAAAACATAGTCCCGCAATACAGAATTTTTTGTCCCTCTTAGCCTACAGGGCAAGTAAAAAATGCCTTAATCAATCAATTTCCTCCTTAACCTAAACACAGAATTAAGCCAAAGAAAGCATGTGCCATAAATATATTTTTTACTTGAAAGAATGCTGGACATCACACTTATTATGCATGTATGTTTCATTCTTTTTTTTTGTTTGTGTTATAATTTGAGTGGAGTGCATTAAATAAAATCAACTATAATTACAACAAAGAATGATGAAACAAAAACTTCTTCTAGAAGAGGAATAACACATAAACTTTTGCATACTTAGCAACATTCATGTCCCTCAAGAAGTTGTCAGATACATAACAAGTGTCTTCTTTGACCTGCCCCAAGAATGAATTAAATTTTAAAAAATTTACTTGAATGCTAAAATCAATTTAGAGGAACTGACTTTGGAAATAAAAGTCCACTAAAAGTTAAACACACCAATGCAAAAAAAGACCATGCATATCAAAATTCATGATTATCTAGAGTACAACTGTCGTAGGCATAAGTTGTAGCAATGATTGTTGTTTGTGAGCTGACATGAAATAAGTTCATTGTTCCTGTATGGCATCTTATTTAAGCTACATGTACATTGCAGTTTCCAGACTGTCCAACCATCCCAATCTCATCGGGATTCTCGCAATTTTGCTTGAAAATCCCAAATCCTGACCAATATGCAATCACGACAGGAAAAATCGCGATTTTGGTATCGGTTCAGATACAAACATACAAGTAAATAAGAATGAAAATGACAATCAATTTAGCAAACATTTTAGACAGAAAAATTTTATCCTCTCAGAACACTAGAAATGGCATTTCAGAACATTAAGATGCAAAATTTTCTGGGGCAGCATGCACCCACAACCCCCTTGCAGTTTGAGTCTTTAGTGCTGGTGAGATTCATCAGTGATTGAAAAATATCCCAATTTTACTTACTTAAAAGGTTGGAAAGTGTGAGTTTCCTTTTCACCTTATGTTTAACACAGTTTTTAAAAGCTAGAGACTTTGGATGGATTCATTTGCAGCATAACTCTTATAGCCATCACATTTGCTCACTGGAATTTGTCAGATTAAAAGAACAAAAAATCCCACGGGCAAAAGTGATGGCCATACATCACTCAAATCACAAGAGTGTTTATGAAGTTGATCTTTTCTCACCTGATTCATCACATATGTTTCATCTAAGACATGCAACTGTCTGCAAATTCAGAAAAAGGAATCACTTAAGGTAGGAATGTAACAACAAGCAGTACATTGCAAATGATAACCATGCAATATACAATAATAAAAAACAAGTATGTAGAGTGAGTCACGTTTGTTACACAGCTGTGTAACAAAAGAAGGCAAAAAAGGCAAAGTCAAAATTCACCAACATTTCTGTATTACATTATGCAATCTGCTGTCAAACACAAATGGTACTATGTGAACAGACTGACAAAGAGGTTTCAATAATTGAATGGTCATACTAAAAACTATAGGATTTTGTTCACAAACTCAAAAGTTAGAGACAAGCTAATTTTCACTCTAAGAGCGAAAAAAGGTTAAAAAACACTACTGAAATCCAATTTCTAAAGTTAAGGTCAAGTTGTCACATAACTGTTGCATTACACGTTATAATAATGATTTTGTCATGTATCCTAGGGTTCCTGTATTACAACGTGCTTTTTTATGTGCTCGCAATAAATAGCTCGCACATGGACTCTGGCATCTGTTTCTTCATTTCCAATCAGGCTTAGCATAGCAAAGTCATTACACAGGGTAGTAGATGTATATTTGGTACCTCAATACAACCAAACCTGTATTACGACTATCCCAGTATTATAAGCAAATAATTTTCTACAGCCTCATAGGAATGAAATGCAAAGTGAGGGGGCACAACGGTTTATAGCAGCACTGGTGGCATATATGTAAAACTTTAAAGGGCTGGAGTTCCATTCCTGTAAGATCATACAAGGGTATGTCTACTCCTATTGCCATGATTCTATGCCTCAGTCATAGTAACGTGTTAAAATATACAGTCCTGACAACATATCCTTGTTATGACAAACACATTTTTAGACTCCATTGGCACTTCATTACGTGAAATTTTTTTTCATAATGCAACTTTTAACCTCAGAAAATTTGTCATCACCAAAGGGAAAAAACTGGGCTGACCAACTTCCCAGCTGGTACATGCATGTGAGTTATCTCCACTTAACCACTTTGTTTGTTTTTACATCTCTATACACATCTAAACACAAGTAATTATGAGTAATGAGTAAGACGTAAACTCCATACTTTGTCTTTATTCATAAACCAGTTTTATTTACCTGTAGGATATGATTTCCTTTAGATGATTTGTCAACAATTTACCACCAACATTAATTCTGCAAAAACATCCATGGGAAAAACACATCTAAGTATATGGCATACATGAAATTACAAACAACGTTACATTGCACATCAAAGATGATTGAATAATCAACAGCTTTCAGCCTATGAGCCTTCAAGAAGGAGCTCCAAAATGAAAGTAGTCTGCCTCACAGCCATTTTTATTGTCACTAAAAACGGCTGGGAGGGAGACTAAGATGAAAATAGCCATCATAAAAAAAAACACATCATAACAGCAGCTTAGTCATTTTTGCCATAGACCTACTAGCCCCAACATCAACATGTATCTTCTCCACACTGTTCTTCATACATTCTTTATGGTACTGCTTGAGAGAATTTGTTCTAACATCACAACATTTCATCTTTGGTGATCATTTCCTCCATTCTCATGACCTGTCTGTTTGATCAGGCAGTGTTATTGTTGGGAGAAATTGGATGTGGGTCACTAATGGGGCTATAATAAAGAATTAGAAAAGCCACTTGTAATTTAATGGCTTGAAATAAACTGGGCCATAGTACATTAGTCTTCAGTTCCTTTAATACACAAGTACCAGTGAGTATCTGTAAGGGAGGGCAAAATAACATTCTTGTGCTATTTATATCTTGGAAATATATAACCGGATTATTAATCATTTAAGCCCCAGCATCTCGATATTTAACAAATTCTTCAGACTGATCTCCATGAACATTTCCTTAAAGAATTTGTTAAGAGAATTGAGAAAAGATCAATGAAAGCATTTTCCCTTTTCATCGTCATCATGTCTTATCACACCAGTAGGCGCATAAGGCCTCCACGCTGTCTGACCAACACTAATTTGTGTCTTGTGCAACCGCTTTGGCTACTTCTCAGCTCTTCCACCCCACTTTGTTTCACTCTTTCTCAACTGTCCTTCTCCAAGAAGATTTTGGTCTTCCTCTCCCCCTCCGACCTTCGGGAGTCCATCATAATGCTGTAAAGCAGTCCTTCACACTCTCTCTTAAGTATGTGACCTAGCCAGTTCCACCCTCTTTGCCGCACCTCACAGCTCTTTTGGTGATCACTTTATTAATTCTCATAACTTTTTCTCGTGTTTACATATTGATACTGTTTGGAGAAAATTCCTGTTGATCACTCTTGGGACTCAACGGGATTAGAGACTTCAATTAGTTGACAACTTACCGTTTTACACCCTTCTTCATAGCTTTCCCATTGAAAACTGGAACAATATGAGTGAAGGAATATCCTAAGTCTACCACCACACAGACAAGGTGCTTCTCGGTTTCCTCATTATGGCTTTTAAACGCACTCAACTGAGCAGCTTTGAAACAAGTACAATCAATTAAATCACAATTAAGCATTCTATGCATTTTTTGAAATGGCAAAGTTAATTATCATGTATTTTATCCAATATTTATTCTAATTTACCTGTTGTGCGGCAAAGAGCTTTGAAACCATATTCTTCAAATAAAATTTCATCACTGGCATCCTAAGAAAACAAATATATTACTTCAACAGTTGGCCAAAAACTTAGGATGTCAATGTTGTTGGCTGATGTTACTGTCACTGTCAAGTCAGTGTCTATTTCCATTATATACTGCCTGATACATCACACAGTAGCACACAGCCAAAAAAGAGAAAACAATATTGACCAATCAAAAAATCAAACCATGACATTAAATACAACCTATTGCTTAAAAGAAAATTAAACTATTGCTTGAAAATTAGAAATTATAGCCTACCAAAATAATTTTTAATAACTGCATTAAATTACCCATATTCTATAACTCTGGCCTGCATTTAAAATGGACTAAAGAACAAAGCAGCTTTCATTGGGTTTCAACTACATGTACATGTGCATAGATTACTGCAATTTCCACTTTATATAAATTACTGTAGCAATCAAAATTACAAGTTACAATAAATATGAGACAAACATACTTTGATAGAGGTAAAGTTGAAGTGCGGCTCAGTCAGAAGGAGCGTTGTTTCAGGAAAGTCAACCTTGATTAGATCAACAAAGTTTCAAATATTTCTAAAAGCAATACTAACTTCAGTGCTAGCAAAAATCAATCGGTAGAACTTGTGTTGTAATTTACAAACAAAGACTGAATTTATCACAAATCATTATCTCCTATTTTAGTCATGATTAATGGGCAACAGAACTTGAAGTTATCCAATTCTGTAGGTAATATTATTGTAATTAACCAAATTTAATGTCCGCAATGTACCCATTGTTTGATCGGCTCTTATGATAACAGGCTTATTTTAAAAATAAATACTAAAGGGATATGCGGATACACGGATACGTAGTGACAAAGTGGATACTCTGATACGCGGATACATAGGGACTGAGTATCCGGGCGTGTATTCGCGTATCCCCCTATTTTTAGGTGTTGCTTTTAAGTGGCAGGGTATTCTGCAGTTAAGCCAAAATTTAAGCCTTTAAGTATGAAATTGAACCACAAAATACATAACATAAAGGTAAGCTATATTTTATTTAACATGTGCGATATTATTTCACTCAGCAAAATTAAAGCAACCACAATCAACCCCGGTTTGGAAGCTTGTAACAAAAAACTTCCATTGCATACAATGGGAGTACTCTAACTTAGTCACCCAGCATGGAATGTTGTCTTTCTACCTTCATCACTTCCTTGCCGAATATGTAATCCCATATTTGCTTCTCTACATCCCAGTTGACTAAGACGCCCTTCTGAAAAGGCATCACGTAAAACAAACCCTAATAATCTTTGCATTCCTCCAGTTGATCTCCAATAAACAACTTTCTACGTTCGCTCTTTGCTTTGAAAATACAGTTTGGAATAAGCCTAGAAAGGAAAGAATATACCCTGTTAATAATTGGTTGTACAAAGACCTGCTATTTTTGGATTTATTCCTTACCTTGGGCTGTCTGCAGTATTAAATTCGACTTTGGCAGTACTGGCGCCATTATCAAGCACCAGAACCGCCATCTTGGATTGTACTAGATCCCAGGGCTCCCCAAGAAAAAGTGAACTGGTTTCCCTGGCCGGACGAGCCCTGGACACGACAACAGTTGTCTCTATTGTATTTGTTGCTTTTTTTGCACAATTTTTTTTTTCTATTTTTGTCTGCTGGTAGGGTGTCACCCATCGCGCGAAGCAAGAGCGGTGATCAAGCATGCTAGCAGTCCGTCAGGATTGTATTAGCGCCAACAAGCATGTTACACTTCATCGCTCGCATGCTCCCCCTAGTGGTGTAAGATTTTCACTCTATTCCATAGATTCATCTTTCGCGCAAAGCTGAAATCTCATCCAATCCGAGAAGGGTAGAATTTCAGCACTTTTGAAGTAAGGACAAAGTTCATCTACCTCCCCCATTGGGCTGCGCAGACCTTTATGAACACGTGTTGCGGCGAGAATTCCTTCCTGTATTTTTTCAGATTTTATTTTAAACAGCTTAGGGTTGGTCATTCAACTGCGAAGATTGCAGTTGTTCATATAAGTACACAATGAACGCTACAGAGTGAAGACACTTGATTAAGACCAAAACCAGTAAGAGCAAAGAAAGAACTAATCTGTTGGATTACAACTGTCCACTACTTGTATGTTTTAACCGCCACCAGGTTAGCTCAGTTGGGAAAGCGCCGGTCTGCTGGGCGGGAGGTCGCAGGTTCAAACCTTGACCGGACCAACACTCAGGGTCTTTAAATGACTGAGAAGATACCATTGCCTTTGTAATCGCATCTACAAACGGTTAGGCTTTCTAGTCTTCTAGGATAAGGAAACAGCACTTTCGGTTATCTGGTTCTTGTGGGACGCAAAAGAATCAACACCACTGGTCGAAAAGAGTAGGGGGACGTAGACCCCGGTGGTGTGACCAACTTTTTTGGGACTGGATGGGTTATCTGTAAGGAGAGATCTTAATATAGGGATAACCTCATGATCCTCCTTCAGGTGTGGTAATGGCTACCTGTAAACAGTGCATGTATGTAAAGATCAAATATACATAATTGCGCTAGTATGAATCGAAAAATGCTAGTACTGTTTTGAACTGGTTTTGTTGCTGTTTGTTTCTCATGAAAATCATGACACACTGTTTATTGAAACTGAATGAATATATGAATTTCATTTGAATTGTGGTATGAAGAAAAGAGGTCAGGACCCCGGCAAGCCTGAAGTTTTTCGGGCTTTCTTTTCGCAACTGCACAAGTTGCGTATTTTTAACTGTGATGATCTTCTCTGTATTTCGTTAGACTGTTCATTGTTATGGCTTTATTGGCGGAGCGCTATTCGGTGAGTCTGTTCCCACATATCTATCTGTAACTCCCTCACAAACGTTTCCAACATTCTATTATTCCTCGCAAGTTTTATTCTTTTAATCACTTAGGTCCATGAAAAAAATAAATTACATGCGTTTGTTGCACCACTCACAATCTTCAAGCATAGATAATAAGAAAACTTATTTTACATCTGTGCTGTCATACGCGAGATAGGCCCAAACAAAATTAAATGTTTATCTGACATTAAAAGGACATGTAAATAGATTAATCTACCATATCACATGCTTACTTTAAGGTATTTTTGTGCTTACTAAGCTTTATATGTGACCGCGCCGGTTTAATACAGCCACTGATTTTCAACCTAATCTAACTGAACAAAAACGCTTCGAAAAACCAGGGCGTTTTCCATTTGTCAAAACTCGCTGGCCAAACGAGTCAAATCTTACGGAGAATTCCACTATTAATCAGGATTGTCCAGCTACATCAGTAATTTATTCAGTCACGAATGGTATACTCGGATGTGACTAGTTTTAACTAAAAATTTTGCGACGAGGCGCAACGCGCCGACGAAAAACCCATCTCGGAGGCTTTTTCAAGTGCAAACCATTATGTTAGGGTCTTTAGAGTTTTTAAGATCCAACGACGCGACGGCAACGAGAACGTCGCTAAAAAGTGAATATGCGTTCTTTAAGTCTTTATCGCGATTATTCCTACCCACTTTCTTTGTCAAATGTAAGCGAACAGTCCTGGAGTTCAATTCCTAGGAACCATATCCAAATTCAGTCAGAGAAATATAAATTCGTTGTTGCTTGTTTACGTTCTCTAGAAAACGCGAAATTAGGTATGTTCACGTCGTAGTCGTCCAAAAACGGCAAAGAAATGTACAAAAAAGCGTGATGCACGTGTGAGGCTGTTGTTTTGCCTACTAAACCTATCGTTTTTTGACGTTCTCGTTGCCGTCGCGTCGTTGGATCTAACAAAATCCTATTCTAGATCTTGAGAACAAACCTCTGGAGCCAACGTACTGTATTGACCGGATGCTTCGAATAGTTGCACTCCAAACTTCATTGCTTATAAGGACAAGGTTCTTTTGTTGAACCTTTTGCTCAAAAAATATTCATACTTTAATACAAAAAACCCCAGCCCCTCACTTTATTATTTATCATCTGAGTAAAATAAATTCCTCGTTAGAATCTTTTTGCATGAGTTGGACTTAATCATTATTAATTTTGAGATCTGTTTAAAGGGACTGTGTTAAGCTATTTGGTATCTTTTTGTAAAGCTGAGACGGAGTTCGGTCGTTTCGATACAAAGTCATTTCGATACAAAGTCGTTTCGATACGAACTCAATTTCGATAATTTTAAGTATATAGTTTAAGTCAGTTACGCCTAAACTGAATAAACTTGTATCGAAACGAACGTAAACCGCTAAGACGTGTCTTCGCATTAATTGAATTCCAAAAATAATGCCCCAGTTTTGTTATCTAATACTAAATCTAGGCATTGACACTGTTTCCTGTCGTCTCTTGCAACAAATGGTAAAGATGAACATGGATTGAAACTTGAAAAAATTGGGCATTTTTTTCCCCAAGATTCACAGCGTGCAAAATTCACCAAAAAAAAAATTATGGTTAGCGTTCCCTAATGAAACTTGTTTGATATCTTCTACACAAAACTGGAGCATTTTGTGCATGGATAAAGGAACTAAGTGATAACTTCAGAACAGATTAAAAAACAGCAATGTCCTCATGGCATATAGGCTCGATTTCCGCCGTCTCCTGGGTCCGGTCTTTGATCCTCCCCGAAGAGAGGGGATGAGTGCGGGCTAATTTTCCCGAACAGCGGCTGGTAATCGAGCCTACATGACATAGCCCCTTTAAGTGTCTATAAGAACATCCGATTACAACTGAGATTTTTCCGAACTATAGTATTTAATTTTCTCAACGGCAGTCATAACATCTTTTGGATCAACTTCATCGCCAAAGTCCTTAGCTACGTGATCAAGTAGAATTCCTTGTTCTCCAGGGCCAACTACAAAAACACCACCTAAAATCCGGCCTTCTCCTTTAAGATCCCATACAATATCTTTACGCAAAGCTCGGAGGCCTGCCTTCCAAACACCGATGCGAAAAAATCCTGCAAAGAAATCAGATTCAAATGCAATATCATATGTACCTACTTTAACCTTATCTGCGGTCAAGCGGTCTTTTTCCTTTTTTGTTTGATAGGCCTTTCCCCATCCTCCGCAAAAAAAGAACGCCTGATCGCATGTTAGCTTTAGGCTAAGTTCACACTTTACTGGATGGCTTTTGCTACCCTAGGTGCCAGAGGCTTTTCATGCGCGGTTTCCGGTTTCGGTCAAGTCTTAAAAAGTGACCCGCGCCGCTCGTGTCTTCGGCCTTCGGCCGACGAAACGAAGCTCCCCGACGCGCGCGAGGAAAAACCTCCGGTACCCAGGGTAGGCTTTTGCCGGCACCAGCATGAAAATCATACTGGATAGAGCTTCTGTTGACGGCACCACACCGATCTCTAAAGTGGAGAGTCACATATCCCGTTAGGTGTACACACTATACCGGATAGATTTTAGCCAGTGTACAGACCCCCTCTCCCTTCCCTCAGAAAAAAAAAACCTGAGGGGAGAGGGGGTCTGTACACAGGCTAGAGAGATTTTCGTGTCGGCACAAAAAGCAGTACAGTATAAGTGTGAGCATAGCCGCTTAACCTTTTTTTTGGCTTTTGTTTAACACGCCGAGAGAAGGGTGGTGAGAAGCGACAGCCTGCGTGCAGACCTCTCCTGTTTCCCAGGCCTGCTTCCTATGTTGCAAGAGAAAAATGGACGTCTGCATAACACCATTGCTTGTTTCCACGTGATGTCACGGCGGCCATTTTTCTCCTCTGGGAACTTGTAAATTCTTCTAGAAAAAATTCTGTTGTTTTGACTCCCAACATGGCCGCCTTGTCACGTGGTTGCAAACCAAGGATTGCTCATCATGTTCCGGTTTCTCAAGACTTTGGGTAATGAGGAAATAGGAGACCTCTGAATACAGGCTACGTTCACAGGTGAAAGTTACTTTACCTTAATGTTGTAACGTCTTCACTTTTTAAAAAGATGAATACACATTGCATTGCAATTTAATGTGCTTTAAAACCTTTTCTCACTGCCATGTATAACTGTGCTATTACATGGGAGACCACTCTGGGCGATGTAACACTGCACATCTTGTACTTAGTTTTATGGCTACAAAAATTGTTTTGACAAAATTATATTGTTTTCTTACCACTAATGAGCATCCATCTTTGCTCTGGACCATAAAATTTTCTCTGCGAAAAAAAAAAAAAGCGAAAGCAAAAAACCATCAACAACCATCTCACGAACACAGACACAACAAAAATGTCCATTGCATAATCAGTTTTGAGATCTGATTGTCCTTTGAACCACCTGGCCCTAGGTATGTAACTGAATATTATAATCCAGGGTCAAATAGTTTGGAGGACTATTTGTCCTGGGCATGGGTGACCAATATCAACATTCTCCTAACAATGTCAATACATCATCAAGAAAAAAGATAGTGAGAATTAATAAAATGATCAACTAAGGGAAATTGCTTCAATGATCTTCTATCAAATTCTCTCACCTTATTCTTCACTCTGAAAAATTTGTATGTGGATATTGGGACTTGAAAAGGTTAACAACAAGCTAGAGTTAGTTACCGTGATGACTCTTGTGGTCCCCTTGGTTTAGCGTAAAGGAGCTTCAAAAAATACTATTATTCTACCCAGGGCTTAATCAATAATGTTATAAACAGGTGGGGGAATTAAGAGTGCATTCCTTTCAGGGATGGATCTAGGGGGAGGGTGCAGGGGGTGAGCACCACTCCCCTGAGATAACCTGCGGTTTTCTTTATACAACTAGTATTCTGCAAAAAAAAAAAACAACTATGTGGTTTATTGGTGTTGAAGTAGAGCAAGAGACGAGTGCACCCCCTCCTAAAAAAAATTCTGGATCCGCCCCTGCCTTTGGGATGATCCAATTCAGGATTTATCATCCAAGATTACTTGCATCATTATTACTGCATCAGAGAAACCAATGAATCCCCTGTGCAAAAGGACACAATGGTTCCTTTGATGCACCGTGACCCCCTGCCGTGATCTTGGATCATAAATCCTGATCCAGATAGGGACACACTCAATGATCATAGTTGCCAAGGAAGAGTAGATTTAGAGTTTGGAATGTATTGATGCTTACATTATCTAATATCATCAACTGCTCATTCACAATTAAACTGTAGAAATTCCTTTAAGTTTCCCTCTCTAAACACAAAGTAATGGGATAATGTTGTGCCTTTAGCAAGCGCATAATGTTATCCTGCTATGTGTTGTACCTCTTCATCCAAGTATATCGGAGAGTTTAGATATGGCTGAAACTTCTTCACACCTTTTTCTTCATGAACTATCCCCACAAGGTTTATACCTCTCTTGTCAAGTTCAGGTTTCAGAGAGGAGAGCTCTAAAGCCTCCTAAAAAAGGAAAGCAAAAACTTTTAGATACACCTGTAAGTGTTTGATGTATTTCATACAGATCCATAGTTAGGCCCACCAATTCTATTATATTTGTCCAAGCACCATACTAATAAGGAGTGCTACATGGAAGTTGTAGGTTTTTGTTACTTTTAAAGGACCATCGCTTTATAGAGCAAAAAACTTACTGAATGCAGAAACAAAAATAATGATGAGTTTCTGTGACTAGGTAATGAATGTTTACGCCAAATGTAGAATATAATAAAACGAGAAAAAAACATGAATGTATTTTATATTTTATTATTTTCTGTATTCTCACTTGAATCTGCGTCAAATTGCCTAAAATCGAAAAATTACAAAAGAAATGAAAAAGAAATGACCAGTATTTGCACTTTATTCGTTCTTTGTTCTTTGTTGTCAAACACACGACATCATTTTTTTTTCGTCATATTAAACCCATCATTTTGCTTGCTCACTTAAGCTTACTTGTTTTCCTCTTTAGAGCAACAGTCCCCTAAAAGCAACAGAAGCCAGGTTGTGCCAAGTATAGCGGTACTTAAGTTAATAAATACATGTATCTTTAGTTTTGTCACTGTGTAATTGTATGTCACATTGCTCTCACTATCGTGTCACCTTGCTCAATGTCAAAGTACTGCATATTTGTTTCACAGAACACAGTCTTCTGTGTTGTGTGCGCCATGTAGATAAAAGAAAAGTTTAAGTGACATGTGCCTGGTGACATGATACTCAACACTAGCATATTTTTTGCTCAGACACTACCTACTGTTTTGCAAGTTATTCAAGCATGCCTCCGCTTACACCTTTTCATCCAGAATTCTGTAGGTGGCACCATATAAGAGATCCTTTAAATAAATTTTTTGTTTAAAGGATATCTCTTAAATTGTCACTTTGTGATACAGTACCTCTATACACAAAATTCATCCTGGTCTTCTAATGACCATAATGACTGCACCCGAATTTCTCCAGAGGTCAGAAGCCATGATCTCCTTTCCTGACCCATCTAAAGCCTTGAGTTTAATAGCACTCAGATAAGCTAAATCTGGCCTTGGAATATTCTTGAACCAATCCCAGTTTGCAGCAAGAATGCCACCAACGGCTGCTATACCACCAGCTGCCAGTAACCATGCCATCTATGACACCTAAAAATAAAATAAATAAATAAGTAGATAAATGATGGTAAAAAAGTGATGACATTATCTACCATTGGCACTATTTACTCTGAGGGGCCGAGCAAATAACTGGAACAAATAACTTAATAGTGAATCATACACCGTTGACTGGCAAAAGGTATTCAAGGCCAGAGGCTAGGGCTATCTGGACTTCAAGTGAGGTGGCCAAGTTGTGATCTGAGGCCTTCGTGCTCCAAGGAGGGGTATGCTGTTGCTTAATTGTCACTCATTTCTGAGACCACCTGTTGCCTGATGCATGATAGGTTAGGGAAAATGTCACCATAGCATTTTAGCTAGGAAGCTATTCAATTTGGAATTTAACCTTTCTCCCTGGAGGGACCATTTTTCAATAATACCAACATTAGAAATCTATTCAAAGAAAATAACAGAAAATGTTTGGAAATAACAGAAGAGAGTTGCCTGTTGCTTCCACTCCTTGGAAGGCCTCTGATATGGGTTCAAGCCTTGCTTTATCTAGACTCAAAATGTATAAAAGCATGGGTACTGGGACCATACTGCTGGCATTAACCTTGCAATGAGGCTCTGTTCAGGTAAAATTCTGACAAGTGACATGGCCATGAAACCACGACTTAAGACGGCTGGAATGGTGACAAATGACAGAAACATGGGTTGACGCTGTGACAGTAGCAAAGAAGGTGCAAAAACAATAGTGAAATGCTGACAGGGGCATGGCTTCCTCCTCAATAATAAAAACAAAAAGTTTTAAAATTCCTACATTGTTTAGCAATAGACTAGCATCAGAGTAGAGATACTTCTAGGTGCTTCTTTCTACTGAACCAAAGTCAAGACTGCATGATGAAGCCAAAGGAACGCTAGCAATTTTACTTCAACTGTTTTATGTATCGGTCAAATCGAAGCTTCAACATCCCCCCCCGGCATACCCCGGGCATTTGACAACTTTGACGTCCCAGGGAGGAGGGAATTTGATCATCAGAGTCTTCCAGGGGGTGGGGAATTTGATCCCCATGCATTATGGGTGGGGAATTTGAACTGCACCCTCGATTTCATGTGAAATCTCTGGTGTGGCGAGTTATCATGGGGGACGCTGTGTTAGAGCATTTTTGTGGAAAAGATTGTGCCTTTTTGGCCAGTTGGTTACGCGCCTTCAAATACGGCACAAGCTTTGTGCCATATTTGAAAGTATTTAAATTTAAATATTTTTAATATTGGATTCAGGCTTTGAATATGTGTTTACAATGACATACAATACCTATACCGGCAATTCAATACTACAATAAAAAGCTCAACATAGGTCAATTACTTTGACCTGCCACATGTTAGCCTCCACGCATTCATTTCTCCCCTGTGGGGGAGAAATGAATAGGTGACAAACGAACCCCAAAGGACGTCTGCGGGGAGGCTAGCCACATGTATGTTAATTAATAAGGTGAGCGATGATGCATGTCAGTAAAATGGTCATGAAGTAGTAATCTCAGTAGGTGGGATTTTTTTATATAGAACGCTTTGTATGTTGCATGACACACGAAGAAAAGCTGAGCATTCAGTGACCTTGTAGCAGCAATTTCCGCCACTTTGCACGAGACTTTTGTTCGTAGTAAATACGCTAATAGTGTTTCTCAGTTTTTGTTATATTGGATGCAAATTATTTGCTGTATTTATACAGATTTTCTTCTACAACTGAAGGCGTTTCTGCAGTCTTTCTGTCATTTATGTGCCTGTGAAATGTCCCCGGGGTGGGGGCATTTGATCACCTGAATGGACCCTACTGTGGGGCATTTGAACGGCATTTTGCCCCGGGTAGGGGGGAATTTGAACAATAATGTTCAAAAAAGTCAAATGCCCGGGGGGTTGCCCGGGGGGATGTTGAAGCTTCGATCTGAATGATACATTAATCACAATAATTTTAAACTATAGATGCCTTGATTGGCCACGATTACCTGCACAAAAAATCAGTGCAGCAGTCCTAGCAGCATTAATTTTTCGTAAGTCATTGATTCCGTAAACCAACGAGTTCTAAATAAAGCATAAAAGTGCAGCCTTAAGATCGAATATCACCCCCTAACAATAATAGTAAATAGAGTAGTGTTTTACCTGTGGAAAACTGCTCCTGTTAGGTACAGGCATAATATGAACGGCGCTGACACTCAGCCCTCGTGACTTTCATGATAGCGGATAGCTCGGGCGGAGTGGTAACTAACCTCATCAGAGCGAGGCAGGTAAAGGAGCAGGGAGCAACCAGCTACGGTACTGATCGATGAGGATTCCTTCCCACTTTAGCGAAGAAAACAAGAGAAATGTTTTCGGAGGATTTTAAACCTACTTGTAGGTTTTAGGGTTACAACATCTATTTCAAACTCATAAATTCAAGACCTGCTCGTTGTATCGGCACATCTTCTGGTAGCCTACGTGTAGCCGCACCAGTAGGCTAATCTTCTGGTACTATCCCGGGGCCAAGGGTGAAAGTGACCCCCATATGGCGCTTAAAAGGACCGCGTGGCATCGTGGGAAATATACGTCGGCTAACGATAAGGAGGACATACATACGAAAGGAAAGGTAGGAGACACTTGCGTTGTTCACGCTCATAAAATTTCTGTCGACAACTCCGATTGATCCTCCTCCTATGGACTCCTGTCCTCGTCTCATAACGAGCTTCTAAGTGGTCCGTTAGGTAGTTTAATGAGGGGGGACTGTCTTTTCCCTCATTAGCGGCCAGCGAATAGTTTCTCAGTTTTGTTTGTGTCGTTTTTATCGAGATTCAAGCAAGCAGTTGATTGAAAATAAACCCCCTTTCGTGGGGACTATTCAAATTAGTCCACCACTATGGTACCCTGGGTACCAGAGGTTTAGTCGCGTGCGGCGGGAATTTTCGGTGTTGGCCGAAGGCCTAAGCCACCAGCGGCGCGGGTAACTATAAAAACTTGACAGAAACTGGAAACCGCGCTAGAAAAGTCTCTGGCACCCAGGGTACCACTATGTGGGAGAATTTAAAATCGCGCGCAACTTGTTCTTAAGAAGCGCGCGCTTTCTTGTGTTGATTGTTACGTGATAGTAGCAACGAGACCAACAGTATCAAAAACTCTACAATCTAGCACCTTTGAGAAAGAAAGTCGTTTCGGGTAGTTGAGGCAATAATTATGTCCGCGCTTGTAACAAAATCGCACGAGGAAAACATCTTCCCCCAGCCAAAGAAAAGCCGAAGAGAGAGATCGCAACGAAAATTAAATGAACTGAAAAACCGACTGCGAAAGGATCAGGAACACTTGAATCATGTTGAAGAAATGTACGAAGAAACGAAAGAGGAAATTGAAAGAATCCACACAAAAGCTGAACACCAGCGTGAACTGGTGAAGAATGAATCAGCAAGAGAAGCAAGGATGATGGCAAAACTTACGGAGATGATTAAAGAGTTCGACAAAGTGAAAGGGGAAAATAAAACAGCAGCCAGTAATGAAGTCTGTCAAGTAATTTTGGACAACTCAGCGAAAGTTGCTGCAAGACATACCACTGCATATCGAGTTATGCGCTTTGTCAAGATTGGATGCGTCTTGGTGCTGGACTCTGTAGCAGCTTATACTTTATATCATTTCACAAAACCACTGCTGTTTTTCTAATTGTATACTACTGACCGCATTAGACCGAGTCAATTCGCAGGAAGTTTAAAATAGATGTAAAGCTTAACAACGCTCTGATTTAAGTAACAAACGAACTCTCCCGCGAGATGAACTCCTGCCTAAGCTCAACTTTAGATAGCAACCTGCTAAAAAAACTTAGGTTGAGGTGTCTGATTATTCAAAGCAATTTAACTTACGAAACCTTCAGTACCTTCAAATATTAGTATCTTTTATAAATTCAAAAATAAAGAAGAGTTCTTTTCATGTTCAGACCGTTTTTTATACAATAAGCTTGTGTCAAAGCCACAACTATTTCAGTTGTAAATACAATTTTTGATATATGAAAAGGTATCAAATTGATTTTATTTAATCCTTGAAACATCGAGTGGACTGACTTCTATATGCCTTATCACACGTATTATACCGTAATTTGTCGCGTGGTGATTGCGGGAAAGTAGTTCGCAAATGAACTCAGTGGAAGTGAAAAAGTGGTCACCTGGGAGTTTAGCGAGTAAGGTCCTTGCCTTTGCGCATGCTCAGAGAATAAAATTTGACGCGTTTTTTCCGTTCCTTCTCTCTAATTCAGTTTCTCTTTGATCCCTGTGGTAATTAACTGGCGTTTTCGTTCAGAAAAAAAATTGTCTTCGCCCACCAGTGGCCTATGGATAGCCTCGCACTTCCCTTTTGTTGGTGCTGTCGTTCTCCAGAGAAGCAAGCAATACATGCTATTTTTTTTTTCTTTTTCTTATTTGAGGCATATGAATGAATTTCACAGTCGCAAGAGTTCTTGTAATTATGGAAGCGCGTGCAAGTTAAAAAATTCTCAGCATTTTTTTCTTTCTCTTTTTAATTGCCAATAACCTGTTTAACTTGTCGCTTCTTAGGTCCATCCAAAACAAGATGTAGGCATGTGCACACTCAAAAACTTCAAGCGTAGACAATAAGAGAGCTTATTTTACATCTGTGCTGTCATATGTGAGATAGCAACACACATGTTCGTCTAGTAATGGACAGACTAGGCTAATTTCCAACGTCGTCGTCATCATCATCATCATCATCACTTGAATCATTACAACCTGGTTGACTTGCCTGCCGATATAGTTAAAATAATAATAATGAATCTCTCGCTAGGGAAATTACTATCGGCTGTGTATGCCTCATTCCGCAGAAAAGAAAACTTAGGGGTTCGGCCACTTCAGCGAATATTGCGTCAAGCGGAGAGGCTGATGATTACAAATGAGGTATTTTCTGTACTTAATTACATTTGCTGAACAGCATCCATAACATCTTTCAGATCAACTTTATCACCAAATTCCTTTTCTTTATGATCAAGAAGAATTCCTTGTTCGCCAGGGCCAACTACAAAG